TATTCGAATGATCATTTTATAACTTTTAATAGTTTGAGATTAATAAAATATATTCTTATAATTAGAGGACCATTTATATAATTAAAATATCTTAAATTATATTTTGTAAGAATTTAAATTATTATTTTATTAAAATAGACTTTAAATTATTATTTGAAATCATTCTAAATTTTATTTATTCTCAATTAATTTTTCGACCAAGACATAAAATTATATATTTATTTTAATAAAAGATATTTTAAATATTTAAATAAACAAAATTATAATTTAAATATTTATTTTAATTAAAGAATAATCTAAATATTTAAAGGGTTACAAATAATAATTTAAGAATTTGTTTTAATAAATATAATAATTTTGATACCCAAAAAAAACATAATTTAAATTCTTTTAACGTCTGCACCAATTTGGCAATCTGTATGATGGAAGCAAACGTAACGGCACATTAAGGGGCAATATTATAATTAGTGAATAGTTTAAGGGTCAATTTATAAAAAAGTCTTTATAATTAGCTGCAGGTACAAATTCGAGGAACACCCCTTCATAATGTTAACCGTAACTTTGATTCTTCTGCTCTAGCTCCGCCGCCGCTTCCGGTCCGTTTCCTTACCCTTCCAACACCTGGTCTTCTATTTCCTGTAATTTGTTTTAATTTTTTCCTTAAAAAACCTTAATTCTCCTCGGCCGCGTCGAGCATTTTCCCTTGACCATGAGCAGCGCTACCAGAGCCAGAAACTTTCGCCGCCGTGGCGATGTTGCAGAGGAAGATGACAACGGCAAAGATAATAGCAATAACCCCACCGCCACCCAAAATTCATCGTCTTCCAAACCCTCCGCGAAGAAACCACCGAAACTCCTCAGTTTCGCTGACGATGAGAACGAGGAAGAAACAACCAAGTCATCCTCAAATAGGAACAGAGATAAAGAGAGGAGAAAACCTGTTTCCTCTCGGTTCCCCAAACCCTCATCTTCCCACAAGATTACACCGTGAAAGACCGCAAAAACCCTTCTTCTTCTTTACCTTCCAATGTCCAACCCCAAGCTGGTACTTACACAAAAGAAGCATTACTTGAGCTCCAAAAGAATACGCGCACCCTTGCTGCCCCTTCCTCACGCGCTACCTCCGTTGCATCTGATCCTAAGATTGTTCTTAAAGGCCTTCTCAAACCCCAATCCCAAAGTTTAAACTCCCAGGAAGAGAATGTCCCCCAACAGAAACTTGATAAAGACGACACGGAGTCTAGGTTGGCATGATGGCGATTGGTAAAGAAGTGGATTTAGATTCTTCGGCTTTTCCTGACCAGGCAACTATTGATGCTATCAAGGCGAAGAAGGACCGGGCTCGAAAGTCTTTTGGAAGGCCTCCTGATTATATATCATTGGATGGTGGGAGTAATCATGGCGGTATGGAGGAGTTAAGTGATGAGGAGGAACCAGAGTTCCGAGGGTGTTGTTCGGTGAAACTGGGAAGAAGGGTGTATTTGAGATTGTTGAAGAGAGAGCAATGGGTGTAGTTTCGGGGAAAGATGAGATCCATGACGAGGATAATGATGATGAGGAAGAGAAGTTGTGGGAAGAAGAGCAATTCCGAAAAGGATTGGGGAAGAGGTTGGATGATAGTTCGAATCGGGTCGTAATTAGTAGCAGTACCACTGCTGGAGTTGCTATGGTTCATAATATGCCTCAGCAACACCAGAAAACGTTTGGGTATTCGACAATGGCTTCATATGGTTCGGTGGCGCTGAGTGTGTCGCAGGCTCCGCCTTCAAGCATTGATGGAGCAGCTGGGGCTTCTCAAGCTTTAGATGTTCCATCAATATCGCAGCAAGCTGAAATCGCTAAGAAGGCTTTACAAGAGAATGTGATTCGGCTTAAGGTATCCCTTTCTCTGCTTGTCAAATTAGAAAGTATGAAACAGAAATCAGAGTAATCAAGTTATGGTTACCTAGGAGTGGGTTATGAGTTACCTAGGAGTGGGTTATGAGTTGGGGGTTTTCATTTTGTTGTTGCCAACAGTTTGTATGAGAAGTATGCTTTAAACTGAATCTAAAGGGTAAATTAACAAGAAGTTGGGAAGCACATGATAAGAATAGTTACTTGTTGGGAGACAATTCTAGGCATATCATTTTCCATAAATAGGCTGTGCCATTGTCTTGATTAAAAAAATGGTTTTGATATTTTGCAAGCTTTCTTAAGCTGGAACTATGTTAGAAACTATAACTTCTTTGGTTTTGGTTTGTTTTCTAATTTTTAGTCATCTAGAAACTCAATTGGTGGGCATTCTAATGGAATGGTGCTATGATAGTGTTTCCTTAGTAGGTTTGCATCAAAGGTGTTTCTAGACGTCTGATACTATTTGTGATTTAAATGACTTTGGTAATTGGTTGATTGTGGATATTTTCTTTCTAGTTGATGTCATGTTTCTTAGCGATTTCACAATAATAAAAGTATTTTTGATAGATCTAGTTTTGATAACTTCCAGTTTAAACCAGAATGCAGGATTGCATAGTAGTATACTTGAGTTCTTATAATTTTCTGCCTAGGTAGTGTTGTGTTGTTGACATAGAGCTTTCCACTGCTTATGAATGATAGCTTCTTTTGAGTAGTATTTATGATTTCCTTGAAACTATATGGGATTTGGTTGAAGATGAGATGCGTAAAACTCGTAAATAGCTCTTTGGTTCCAAAATGAGATTCGAATGGCAGTTAAGATTTGAATGGAAGAACTTCAGCCTTCATTGCTCAACTATTGCATCAATTTCTTGATGGGTTTTCTATAACCACATAATTACTTAATAGGTTAATTATACACATCAAGGTTCAGGTTTTAACTTCAAATCAGCAACATGCATAATGAGCGTCACATTACTATTTTGCTACTAATTACAAGAGTAAAGTTCATATGCAGGATGACATCTCAAGTCAAGGGTTCTATTGTTAATATCTGCTATTTGATGAATGCTCAGTTTTTTTGTGGTTATTTGTGTCCTTGTTCTAAACTTTATTAGTTAATTTAGTTATAAAGATTCTCAGTCTTTTTGTGGTTATTTGTATCCTTGTTCCATCAACTTGCCTAACTTATGGTTTTAAATCTTTAAAGATATAGTTTGCTTAGGTTATATGTTTTCTCAAAGGTTATTAGTTGAGTTTTAGTGGTTAAAATTCCCTGTTGAACATTTCTGAGAAGTGCTAGCTTTTGCTTGTAAAGTAAGCAAGAATGCATGGCAGATATGTGGTGATGAATGAATTTGGATATTGTTTTTTATCCGCTATATAAACAGATTTATTTTGGCTCTTTCCTGCTACAATCGCTATTTTGTTTTTTTTTAAGTTAAATGAAAAACCAAATTTGAAGCTGTATGTTGGATGCCCTTGGAAGTTTTAGCCACTCCCTATCCTTCTGTGCTTCTTTTTCTTTTATATTTATTCTTCGCTTAGGAATCCTTTGGAGAAAAAAAAATAGATCCCTTTTGTCCAATGCTTTTGAAATGTATAGCACGAGAAGCTTTTTCCAGATGATCTTTTGATTCTATGTTGTTCCCTTAGCTTTTCTGACGAGATCTATTTACAATTTTATCTTTTGTGTAAATTATGTGAGTAAATTGATCAGTTGAGATGTAATAATTTCAGCGATCCCTAATTGCAGCCTGAATTGGATTGAGAGAAAACTCTTTGGGCAGGGAGTCAATATCGATTAGACACTCTAAGTGCTTAAGACTTTAGAGATGTGGGTCATTTTAACCTGAAGAAATTTCTCTTAAGTAACATGATAAGAAATCTAGATGTAACGATACCCAGACTGTAGATACATGTAATGATAGGATGTGTGGGAACTTGGATATTCTTTGTCTGGTCGTTACATTGCTGGAGTTTGTAGATATATTTCAGTATTTATGGTTTTATGTATGTGGGAATCATTAATGATAGGATATTTAAACTGTCATATGAATGGCAACTTAGTGAAGAAGTGCAGCAGAATGATAGTAGTATTTTTTGCAAAATTTTATTCAAATCTAAATCCAGAACTGTTAATTAGGAGTAGAAAAATTGGACAAAATAAAAAAAGAATATGAAATAATAAAATCTTTGTTAATATACAGCAACTCTTTTTGGAGAAACTTTGATTTATAGATTTGCCTGGAGCTTTTAAAATTTGAAGTAGAAAATCTCTTTCATAAGCTAGGCCAAAAGACCACTATGTCAACAAACTATGATCCTTTTATAAATGTTAAAAATGTTTGAATTGTTTTGTACCTAATCAATTTCTATGTCCTTACCAGGAATCTCATGCCCGAACCATTTCATCATTAACAAAGGCTGATGAGAATTTGTCAGCCTCACTTTTCAATATCACTGCTCTTGAAAAGTCTCTGTCTGCTGCTGGTGAGAAGTTCATCTTTATGCAAAAGCTTCGTGATTTTGTTTCTGTTATATGTGAATTTTTGCAGGTACGCCTTTATCTGAGTCTATACCCTGTTTTTCTATTTGCCAATTTACTCCTCAAGTGGATATCTGTTTCTATCTCTCTGTCTCTTTTGGAGCGTGCATATCTTAATTTTTATTTTTATAACTTATAAGTGATTAAGTATTTAATAATCACACTATTGAAAAACAAGAAGAAGAAGAAGCAGGAATACATAAACTGAAACTGAAAATTTCTTTTTTGATTGAATTCAATTCATATCCATCACAATTACTATCTGGATAGTAATTCTTTGCAATGCCATTTTGTTATAGATAAAGTTGTTAAAGGATAATTTAAAGATGCCCTTTACTTGCAAAAATGAACACATTTTTTGCTCATAGGCTCACAAACACTGTGTTAGACTAGATTTCTTTCTGTAGTATCAACGATCTTTAAAACAAATACTGTATAAGTAGTCTGAAGTTTCATTTATCAAAATCGTAAGACTAACAGAAAATTTGAGTCACAAATATCAAGTTCTCAATCATCAATAGCTATGAGAAACTGAATTAACAAAAAGTACTTTAAGCTACAACTTAAACTATATGAATGCATAACCTGAAAATAAGTTAAATATTTGAAATTAAAGTAGAAGACAGTACAAACATAACGAAATATTAAAATGCCCTTTGGCTGGCATTTAAATGGTGTGGGATATACCACTTCAATTTTTTTATGTAAATGTGGCCTTGAGAATTTTATTTTTGTGGAATGACTTCTTGTTATCACTTGTGTTGAGGCTTCCTTTTTACGCATGCATGTTAGTATGCTTGTTTGTATATTGATGCCTACCTTTTACTATGGTTTTGTACGCAGCATAAAGCTCCGCTTATAGAGGAACTTGAAGAGCACATGCAAAAACTTAATGAAGAACGTGCATTGGCTGTCCTTGAAAGAAGAACAGCAGATAATGATGATGAAGTTGTGGAGGTTGAAGCAGCTGTGAAAGCAGCAATGTTGGTTTTCAGTGAACGTGGAAGCAGTGCCGCAATGATTGAAGTTGCCACAAATGCAGCCCAGGCTGCATCTGCTGCCATTAGAGAACAAGCGAACTTGTCGGTAAAGTTAGATGAATTTGGTAGAGATGTGAACCGGCAGAAACGTTTGGATATAGAACGAAGGGCTGAGGCTCGTCATCACAGGAAAGCTCGATTTGATTCTAAGAGATTATCATCCATGGATAGCGACAGTTCCTATCAGAAAATAGAAGGTGAATCAAGCACTGATGAGAGTGATAGTGAGAGTACAGCATATCAGTCAAACCGCGACCAGTTGCTTCAAACAGCGGATCAAGTTTTCAGTGATGCATCTGAGGAATATTCCCAACTTTCTGCTGTTAAACAGAAGTTTGAAAAATTGAAGAAAGATTATTCTTCGAGCTACCGTGATGCTTATATGTCATTAAGTATTCCTGCTATCTTCTCTCCATATGTAAGACTTGAGCTTCTCAAGTGGGATCCACTCCACCGTGATGAAGACTTTTCTGATATGAAATGGTAAGGGTTATAAACTGAAGTTCTATTGCACCTTTCTAAGAGGTACCAAAAAAAAGACAGAAAGAAAGAAAGAGTTTCGTATTGCTAGTTTAAACTTAAATAGCTTGTTTTGAATCTTTTAATATGTGATTGGTGCAAATTGAGGTGCATGCCTGAATGAACAAACAGATATTAATGGTTATTTGTATCTGTTTCAATTATTATTTGCACTAAGAAATGCTTTCACTTTGGCAGGCATAATTTGCTATTCAATTATGGTTTTCCTGAAGATGGAAATTTTGCATCCGATGATGCTGATGCTAACCTTGTTCCTGCACTAGTGGAAAAGATTGCACTTCCAGTTTTGCATCATGAAATTTCCCATTGCTGGGACATGCTTAGCTCACAAGAAACAAAGAACGCTGTTTCTGCCACAAGTTTGATTATAGATTATGTTCCTGCTTCAAGTGAGGCATTGGCAGAATTATTAGTTACTATCCGCACTCGTCTGAGAGAGGCTGTTACTGATATTATGGTATTTATTCTCTCTCTATATACATATACACTGTCAACGACAGACACATATTTATTCTTCTGTTAGTGTGCACATTGGCAGAAAGGCATCTGTGCCTGTGTGTGTCATATAAGTGACTATGGTCCATGGACATGTTAACTCATAACTGTTCTTTTTATTGTTATTCTTTGATCTTTACTTCACAGGTTCCAACATGGAGCCCGCTTGTGATGAAGGCTGTGCCAAATGCTGCACGAGTTGCTGCATATCGGTTTGGGATGTCTGTTCGGTTGATGAGAAATATCTGCTTGTGGAAGGATATCCTGGCATTGCCAGTTTTAGAGAAGCTTGCCCTCGACGAGCTTTTGTGTGGAAAAATTTTACCTCATATTCGATGCATTGCTTCAGATGTTCATGATGCTGTCACAAGAACAGAACGTATTGTAGCTTCTTTGTCTGGGTTGTGGACAGGCACAAATGTCTCACGAGATTCCAGGTACTATTAGTGTTGGTTTTACCTTTACTCAGGTCCATACGATCCATTGAATGCTGTCTCCTTACATCAACTATGGTCATATGTGGGTGCTATTGAACCAAGTAATTTTTAGCAACCATGGTCCAATTATGCACCGTGCCTTCTCCTGTAATCCAGTCACTCCCCTCTGGTTTATTGTTTGTTTCGTCTACATTTCTTTTCCTTGTTCTTGGTCTATGAACATTATTTCACTCTCTACTTTTCAAATTCATGCATACTCTTGAAATACAAACATCCATGCAACTTTCATTCAATCTTTAGAAGTTATACGTGCATGGTTATAACATAAAAGGCTCACCTTTTGACATATACTGCAAGGGGAAGGCTCACCTTTTTTTTTTTTGATTGGAGGAAGGCTCACCTTTTGAAAATGAAAGGCTTCTCAGTCTCATGGTTTTTCCCCCTCTTGAATGTGCAGTGTCAAGTTGCAACCACTGGTGGATTGTGTGTTGTCATTAGGAAAAGCATTGGAGAGAAGGCATGCATCAGGTGTGAGTGAAGGTGAGGCGGGTGGACTAGCTCGTCGGTTGAAGAAAATATTGGTTGAGCTAAATGAATACGACAATGCAAGGGATATAGCAAGGAGGTTCCATCTCAAGGAAGCATTATGAGCCATGCCTGTCTAGGATAAGATATATGATTAACCTCGACGAGTGAGACCAGTTAGAGTCGTCCATGAACTGAAGGGGTAGGAGTTGGATACACGCACGACTAATATGTCAAGAGATCACAATTGGAACTTAAGTTCCGAGGCTTGCTTTCCTGAGCATCTTTTAGACAGTAAACTAGGATGGTTTGTGTTGATTCTCTGTTCAACCATTTTATCTCTGACCTCTGATCTTGAGATGGAATTATGACTTCGCTTAACTTGAATACTGTCCTTAAATCCTAACTGAAACTGCTTTAGAGTTGCTTAAAATTTTGGGATTTTAGGTTTTTGTGCTCTATTTTTGTTGCTAATAGCAATGCGTTTTGTTATCTTCTGACCTAACACTGCGTGTTTGTATTATGTTGGTTGATTGTGGAACAAGATAGTTGTGTTATGTTTAACATTGTTGGTTTCAAATCTCGATTTTCGAAAAATGATTTTTGTGAAATATATTTTATTTTTTGTATGATTTTATGTAAAACATATGTTTTTGGTAATTGGTAATTTTTTCAGAAATCATCTATCATAAATATACAATAAATGGTATTCAGTACAAAACTAATACGGTTTCCTTTTTGAGTATGCTTTTTCTTCAACTTCTCCTAAATATCTTTCATTCTTTAACATGACAATGGATATTTCACTTACAGCGGCTTTCTATCCTAATCAGAACCGCCTTGACTGACATAACATTGTTGTTTCCATCAACACATTACAAGAAATGTTCTTCATCAAAATTAAATTAATTAAAAATCCTTTGTAGAAAAAAATTAAGAAAAAGTTTACCTACTCTTATAAGAGCGAAAATCAAAAGGACACATGAAATGTATATCTTCTTCACGACTTCTTTTGTATAAAAAATGGATTATTTTTATAAAAAGAAAATCTGATTAAATATATATTCTACGTCTATATATATATATATATATATATATATAGAGAGAGAGAGAGAGAGAGGGTCATTATAGCTACTATTTAAATGATTAGAAGTATGGATGGTAATTCATTACCAAATCTTATGAGCAATTAATTGTGGGCAGTATTTAAAGGGTTTGGATCATGAATGGTAATGAAGCAAATTTGAGCCTTCATCGTAAAATGTTTAACTGATAAAATGTAGGAAATTAAGAATAACCTTGATCATAACAACATATTTAATCGAATATTGTATCAGATCAAATCTTTATCCATTTGTGTGTGTATATTTCCTAAATTATAAAATTCGACTCTATAGCTAAGATTTAGGCTAGTTTAGTGTAAATAACTAGGACATTACTTTGCATCTAATAAAGCAAATTTTGAATAGTTCTTGTTCTAAAGTTTAATATCATGAGGGAGTTAAAGCAAAAGCGTTGGGCTTCCAAAAATACTTGTGCCAACTAGAGTTTGTTAGTCGGGAGGTAAATTTTATTAGAGCTCCTACTATATGTTTTTAGTTGAGAGAAACTATTCCGTTGGTTCTCTAATTTATGTAAACCAGGTCGTGTACTTGATATGAAAGGATGGATTTTGGGTTTTCATCCACCGTATATTCTCTTCTTTCTTCCGGTCAAATAGCAAGCTAGACGAGACGATTTCAAGAAAGTTGTCCTGTTATTTGTTGAACCTTCATTTAATTGTTTTTTCTCAAGTGTTGGATTTTTGTTTGTTTTTTTATATTAGTATATTTTCGTAAAGCTTTCCATCGTTTCTTGCTTTACTTAGCTTCGAGTATCAAGAGAGATCAAGGTAGTGAGAATTCTCATAGGGGGAAATCCTTGGGATTCCATAAGAGAACTGCAAGCGCATCATCCGGAGTACAGAACGATTGTTGAATCACGGTAATCTCATGTCTGTCCTCCTTTTAGTTAATACGATATGTATGACTATAAGATCCTAAGAAAAATTGAAGACTGATTCCGCTGCTTTTGATTTCGATAATGATCCCTTGAATCCTACACCTTGTCCCATGTTCAAATCATTTTTGGTGTTTTTATAACATCCCAAACTCTTTTTTTAACATCTCAACCAATTCTTAATTTAAATGTGATTCATTAAATTTGTTGATAATTCTCTAATCAACCTATTTGACCAATCACTCTCATCTGAGCTTCTCTTTCTTGCCACTTCATCAACGCCATATCCTATAACTCTAATATGGTTGTGCGAATTAATTACAGGCGATATTTTCAAACAAAATAATTATGACTTCTTTTTTTTAATGAAAAAAACCACCACCATAAATAACTCAATGAGAAGTATTACCTAGAGATTGGATAACATAATTTTTAATTTTTAAAATTAAGCACGATTAATTTAAAGAATAATTTGTTCAATAATATATTGTAATTTATAACAAACTTCATAAAACTGGCTTCATTAAAAAAACAGTGTCCGTCATGTTTTTATTTTTTTCTAGTAAAATATTATAAAATTTATAATTCTTTTTTACATTAATAATTTGTTTTACGTAAATTCTGATATTTATGAACATTTAAGTCATTACAAACTAATTAAACCATTACACGCCAGTTGAGTATTAGCTTAGTTAACACAGATGCAATTACAAACTAATTAATATATATATGTAATCATTACATAAGTCATATATTAATATAAATATTATGTTAAATTGAGAATAATATAATGTTCAATTGATAATTTAATACAATTTTATATGTATTATGTGGGTATGTTGTAGTATGGGTGACAGGATTCGAACCGAATACTTCTAAGAAAAACAGAACTAACATATACAAGGATAGACCGAGGGGGATGGATATCCACCCTCTAACATAAAATTCTACATTCATCCCTGAGTTAAACACTACAAAACAAAGCCGGTGGATTGCAACTTTTATTTGTCAACAACTTCGTACATAAAAATAATTAAAAAGAAGAAAAGAGTTCAATCCCCCTCTCCATAAAAAGACTAAAAAGAGATGAGAAATAAATAAAGAAAGTTCAATACCTAAAACACCTCATTACAGCTTGGAACACAGATGATCTCATGCAGCTACTATATCATATTCGCTGAATGGACCTTCGACGGTATCGTGTCGGGTCAAAAACATACAGTAAATAGATGACATTCCTATGTAAGGTTTAATCGCTCTTTCAAAAGGGGAACTTACTTCAATCAATGGCAATGATGAGAAAACCAACGGATACGTACATAAGAAAAACAGGGTAGAGTGCAAGCTCTTTCCTACTTGGGTTGACGGCTGTACTCATGAAAGGATAGGCAGCCCACGAACTCCAAGCCAATGTAACGCAGACCACAATCATCTTGAGTATGACATTTCCCTCCATCATACAGATTAGGGCCCCGACATCCAGAGGGAACAAACAATAACCTAGAAGACTCAGGCTCTGGAAAAAAATGATATGCCCGCCCTGAAACAATGTAAAGCGCAAATACTCAGCAGAAGGAACCTATGCAAAGCTTTTTATACTAAAATCTGAAAAAATGGTAACTAATTATATGTAGAAAGGAACTCCCAGACCACATATAACATTTAAATAGATTTCAAAACCTTGCTCACAGTCAAAATTTTACTCTGTAAAGAAAAGAGGCAATTACCAGTAGTAGCACATTCAATGTCAAGATTACAGCACCAGCTGCGAGCAGTGCAAATGCAACGGCAAAAACCTCAGACTGGGACATTTTTAGGATGAGAAAAGTTAGCGCTCACTAACTCGAAAGTTAAAAACCATGATAATATAATGGAAGGAAGTCTAGATACAAACACAAGAGATGCCTTTTAGGGTTGAAACTATGCATAACATATACAAATTGCAAGAAAATCAATGTAAGTTAACAAAACAGTACAACAATGAAGCAAGATTGCAGGAAAAGAAATCACATTTGCGACAGAAGGAGAAGCAAGATCAAAAGAATCACAAGTTTCACTGACCAATATCTACCATCATGCATCAAAAGTGCTTGAAAGAATTCCATGCAAATGGGAAACCCAGCAACTTAGCTATCTCCAATCAGTCCTAGATTGACATCAGGTTCTGTCGGTAAATGTGGTTGGATCAATGATTTCTCCATCTCTAAATGGATGAGAGATTGAGAGGTCAAATACTATGGCAACGTGTAGTTATGCTGACAGGTGAGCAAATTAAAAAGCTAACTTCAATTGAATGAAAATTTCATTTATGATCAAAACCTTCCAAAATTCCTAAACCACAAAGGACTTAGAATCCTAATCTAAGTCATGATTGGCGAATACATGATCCATAGACTATATATCTGCCCCTAAATAAAAATCTTAATAAATTGCAACTTGAGGCCATGGCTAGGGTTCTCGTAAACAGATATATCTTTAAACAACAGCCCATTGATAAGTTCCACAAGATGTTTGCACTTACACAGATGAATACCCTATTAAAACAAACTATTAAAAACAACATAAATTACAAACTAAGCCTCTCTCTCATAATGTACAGTCTGCTGCAGGGACCATATTGTGCCATTGTGCTCTGTCTACAAATATCAAATGATAGAGAATTAAGAAAGCAAAAATCAAAGTGAATCAATACGAAGGGGAAAAAATACAGACAGGATCTATCTACCTAAAGAAGAAAATTTCCTTATCTAGTTCTTACGTGTATTTCAATATGTTACTGAAGTCTAAATAGGAAAACATAAACAGCAATCCAATACTCCATCAGAAAACAGTTGCTTCAATCCATCCATCAAAGGGATATATTTCTTAACACCATAACCAAAAACTACAACCCTATGCAACCGACTTTGTTTTTATAATACCAAATAATTACCGCAGATAACTGGCAATTATAGTACTGAAAATTAATATTTTTACTCCAGATCAACAATGTAGAGCATGTTTTACCTTTGGACAGAATCAATGGTGTTTTGAAGTTAGTTGTATCAAATAATTTTTGGTTCCAAAAGCAGCAGGCAAAAAGAACATTTTGATGAAGGGAAAATGACATTTTTAAATAATTAGAAATCTTGAATATCAAAAAGCAAATTTTACTTTAGTACAACAAGCGTATCAAATCAATTCATCAAAACAAACCTTCTTAGCGGAGGCAGACCAAGAGAGCGTGAGACCCAAGAAGACAATGAAGAAGAAAGGCCCCCACAGATCCCAATCCCTCAACGCCTTTCCCGGGTCTTCTCTGAAGGGATTCGGGAACACCACCAGCTTTAGGTTACTGACGATCCTCGAAAGATCTCGTTTCACCGTGTCCAAAACGGGTTCCGTTAGGGTGTTGGGAGACGACCCGAACCCGGTCGCCGCAAGGCTGCTAGAATTACTGACGGGTGGGGGAGGAGGAGGAGCAGCCGGGGAAGACCGAACGGTCGAAGAAAAGAGAGGAGGCGGAGGAGGGATGTTGGATTGGATGAAGGGGGAAGAAGAGATGGGAATGGAGGCCCTGGGTGGGCTCGGAGGGCGAGCCGGGAGGACGGTGGTCGGACCAGATTGGACGCTCGCGTGGATTAGATTCTCGATCTCGTCGATGTCGGACTGGGAGGATGGGTGTAGAGGTATTGTATCGCTGTGCGAATTAGACATTTTTGTTTTCCTTTTCTTCTTCTTCATTTCTGTTGCCAACTTTATATACTCTGTTGTATAATTATATGTAATTAGTAAACATTAAAATAACATTTAAATCAATATAATTTAAATTAATTTATTTCTTTTCACTTTTCAATATTATATATAATTATAACATTAATATAATTATATATAATTTATTTCTTCTTCATTTTTGTTGGGACTAGATTTAGGTATAATTATATATAATTTATTTTATATAATTATATCATTAATATAATTTAAATTAATTTATTTCTTTTCACTTTTCAATATTATATATAAAATAAACATGTATAACACTTTTTAATAATATTATTAAACATTTAAACTTAATAAATTGTATTGTTCGCAACATTTTAAAAAACATTTTTAATTAAACTTTTTAAAAACATTATTAATAGGAGTAAGTATGTAATCGAGTAGAATCGAGTCAAAAATTTTGAATTAGTCGAGTTAACTAGTCTTATTTTATAACTTAAATTTTATTTGATTTTTTTCCGAATTGTGTCGACTTAGATCAAGTTGTTTGAATTTATGTTTAAATTTACTTGTAAATATTCATAATGTTATGATATTAATTTATTCTAATTTAAATGAATTTCTATTATTATATGCGACCTACATATATATTTCTTCATATTTTTTATATGTGATATATATCATGTAGAGTTGAGGGATTCAATTCAAACTTAAAAAGCAATTCACTAATCTCTAAAAAATTCGATTTATTCAAATTATCCTAGTATTATTTTATAACTTTAATAAAATATCAAGTAAAATTTTTAACATCTGAGTGGAATAAATTTTTTATCTAATGACAATATTAAACTAACCTAACTCTAAAGCATCACCATCAACCCAATTTGCCATACAAATTAAAGAAACAACAAAATGGTTGCCCATTCTTATCTATACGTAGACGGTATATGTCACATTCGTAAAATCAGATTAATAATATTGAATTAGTATTTACTTAAGATCTTTGGATATAGATGACACGTCATAAGATAAGATATACTTATACATGTACATGTACATGTACACGAAATGTGGTGCATATAGCATGTTCCTACTTAACCTATGTTGTAATGTATATTAGTGGTGGTTTTGAGCATTCATTGAGTTTTCATGAACACGTACTCCTTTTTACAAAGTAGAATTAGCAAGGGTAGAGAACGTGGACAAGTGAGGTGATTTACGAGGCTTTTTTTTTTATAAATAAATTAATAAGGCTTTCTTGTGTTTTAAGAAGGTAATTAATGCGAGACTCAAATTTGAGGTTTAGTTTTATCTATTGTTTTTAGGATTTAAACTTAAATTTTGGACATTATCTGAGTTGATTTTGTGCTTAAGATTAATAATGATGATGCATGCTGAGTATGTGAATGATAATAGACTCGGTGTATATGAAAAATTGACTACAAAGAGAATAAATGATTAATTAATTAATTCTAAAATTTAGGCACATTTAATTAGACTAAAAAGAACATTTTATATATCGATTGCATGTTTGAGGGTTTAAGTGACTGATCTGTTACGATCCTTAAAATTAATGTTTATGCAAATTCAGGTTGTTGTTTTTTTTTTTTTACTTCTGATTGAGTTGAGATTTTACTTGGTGGCATCATAAGTGAATTTTAGTACTTCTGTATTATTAATTTGTATTTTTAATAATATTTATAATATTTAACGTGAAATGAGGTAAAGACATTTATTCATGAGATTAATTATTTTTCTCAGTTGTGGTTTGTTTCTCTCATGTTGATTGGATATGCTTCCGTTGAATGTGTAAAGATGTTTAGTTAAATAATTTTCTTTTTGGTAAACCTCTAATGTGTTACTGCAGATATGGACCGCCTTGGTGATTAATGTGAATTCCAACATTTGGGTTGAGTTGTCTTGATCAAATATTAGATGTTATAATACATAATCAAAATAAATATTCAATACCTATTTTTTTCCAATTAGATACTTGAACTTATTTTCAATGTTTAATTTAGTACATTAGATCTAAACTTAATTTCTTTATTCAAACGAGTACATAGACTTGATTCTATGACTCAAATTGATTTCATTTTTAAACAAATTGAATCAAAAAACCAAGTTCAAGTACCTAAGTGGAAAAAAATTTAGATATCAAATTAAACATTAAATCAAATTCACATACTAATTGAACAAAAACCACAGATACTAAACTGAATTTTATAGGCAAATTCAAGTACAAAAATGTAGATTAACCCTAAAACATATAAACAAAATACTTTTTCTTTGATAAGTAAAATAGTAGAAAATATTAAAAAATAAAACTCAAATTAGAATTAAATCAAATCTATTGTCACTTTACCTATTAAATCGTTGAACGAAGTATTAAATGAAAAACATTATATTATATAGAGAAATGTTTATTTCTTAAAAATAGATAAATAGCAATCCGATCCTTTGCACTAAACTTATTTTAAAATATATATATACATAAAATAGAAGCAGACAGTAGGAACGACCAACTGTGTATAATATAAGGTTTCTCTATAATATTACATGCAGTGGTGGCTCTTCAGATTTTCCACTACTCCTTTCTTTATTACTTTCCACAATGCAACTTTGGCTTCCTCCAATGTTTCAACCCCATGCCCTTCTTCAAATGACAGCCTCTGTACGTTGAACTGTAAACAATGTAACACAGTTACATATACAACTGACGTAAATCCAGGCACCTCCTCCAAAACCCGAGCTTTAGAATTTTCCATTGCCATCATACGAAATAAGTCCGTGTTGTTTCCGACAATCATATGATCGATTTTTTAAAGTTCTCTTAGATATTCCAAGGCTATATCCCCGTACACATTCGTGTGTCGGACACGTATACTTCAATAAAGATGGAGTAACAGAAACAGAGAAATAAATGATACCTGTGCACCTTGACGGACCCTAATGTCAATCCCCTTGCTGTCCATTGATATAAGAGCAGCATCATCAACCTCACCTTCTGCTGATAGCAAATCTTTGAGGGGCTTTGAGAAGGTTGCATTGAGTTCCTAGCAAATTAAACCAAAATTAGCCATGGGAAAAGGGTATGTTAGAGCCTTTGTTACTTGAACCAAGGTATGTATCAGACACGGGTATGTATTTGACACAAGTATAACTAGTTTTTTCCAAGTTTTTCGATATATTTGAAGAATCTTTGAAGGTCGTGGTCTCATTTCCAAATCTCAGACACCGGTACTTCAAGAAAAATGAAGAGTTCAAACAATATGGATTAGAGAACATGTATAAGAAAAGCCTTAGTAGATTCCGATACTCGGTTTTGGAGAAAACAAACACCTCTTTCGACGGAAGAAGCAGCCACAACACAAACACAACAAAGAAAAAGACATACCATTCAAGTGAAGAGCTGAGTTTATGAGAAATTAAAAGTTCACCTTTAGATTTTGTTCACCTCCATCAACTGCAATCTTGTCGGGTTCAAGCGCTTCATATTCCTTAACATCAATCCATGCAACAGTGCCGAATCCTCCAATGAAATATATATCACTGAAATGAATTTTGATGAATAAACATGTTCACTACTTCACTCTGTTCATCATATGAAAATTGAAAAAAAGGAAAATTGGAGGGGGGGCATAATGTATCGACTGGTTATTTTTTTATCCCACTGCAAATCACACTTATGAATCCGGAACCAGTCATTATTTTACAGAGTTATATATGTTATGTAGAAATCAAGAGTCCAAAGCTAGTTATTGCGAAGCAACGGAACTAACAATAAAAGCAGAACCAAACAGGATTTTCTTTAAATCATGTTAAACCAATTTCAGTTATAAAAAAGGAAGTGATGAAAAAATAGGATACAACTAAACGTTTGAACAAACACTAGCTTGTATCCCTAGAAACAATAAAATTTAGAGGGTTACAACAAGAAGCAGGACCAAACTCAATCACGATGCCACAATTCAGGTTAGATTATATCTGAATGAATATGTTAGAATCAGCTATGTAGAAGTTTTGTTTGTTTAGTCTTTTATGATAAGAAATGATAAGTCTTAAAGAGTCTTTGTAATCACTATCACTAGATAAAACTTTATCGTTAGCAAAAAAGTCCTATTAGAAGTCAGCAATTCAGTTTATTTAAACTATTGTAATCTCCTAAATTCAATAATCAAATATCTCTTCTTCTTTTTTTCTTTTTTTCTTTTTTTCTTTTTGAAAGAGGGTGTTTTGTATGTTAATAAGAGGGAAATACAAAACAGACAAAAGCAAGGGCCTCATTAAAAAACCTCCCTGAACCTAATTGGAGGATCAAATCTCTCTTTTTCATTACCTCTTTTATTCTTTCCCTCTTCTTCAGTTTATTTCCTTCGGTTTTGTTCCTAATCGAAAATATTTTCACACATTAAACATGTCGGCAAACCCTATTGGTTTATTCGAGGAAATCAGCCCTCTCACTCATAAATTTGTTGTCGAAAGTGCTTCTATTACAGCAGTCTGATCTGGTTCGGCCAAGATTCCGAGTCATGTCCATCAAGCCTCCGATGTTGAGAGTGTTAATGTTACAACAGTTGGTTTGCAGAATATTCACCCAACCTATCATGATTCCCGATACTATAAATGTAAAAAGCCTCGTCACACTAGGGAAAAGTGTTGGAAGCTTTATGTCTAGCCAACTGACTAACTTGCTTGAAACGTAAGTTATTGTAGCCAAACACTACTGGTAAGCTCTCTATCAACTAGTAAAGAAAAGCAGTCTTCTCCTAAGTTTAATATTGAGGAAATTGAGATACCGAAAAACTTGTTGAAATCTCTTGAAAATCCATCTTCAACAGGTACCTGCCCAATGACGTTTTCAGGTATTTCCTCTTCCTCTTATCCTACTGCCTCAGAAAGAAGCTTTCCTCTCATATGAGTAATAAATTCTAGAGCCACTAGCCATAGGACTTGTTCCTCAAAATATTTCTTCAAATACACCCAAAATAGTAACCATTCAAAGATCACCATAGCAGATGGCACCACTATAACCGTAGCTGGACAAAAGAAAATTTTCCTTAATAAAGACCTTATCCTAAAAAATGTTCATGTTCCAAATCTCTTTGAAAACCTTATTTCTATTCAAAAATTAACCACTGATTTGATTTGCAATTTAACTTTTCCCCTTTACATTGTATTTTTCAAACAATAGACACAAAGAGAATGATTGAGCTTGCTAGTTAGAAAGACGTCTCTACTTCCTAGAACAATCTCGCAATACATTAGGTGGTAATGTTCCCATATCTACATCATTTATTTCTGAATATGTTAGGAAAAAACAAAATAAAATTTGGCTCCATCATCGATATTTAGGTCATCCATCTTTTAGGATAGTCCAATTCATGCTCTCTTTGTTATTTAAAGGTATTGCTTTTGCTAATTTTCATTGTACTGATTATGAGTTGGCCAGACACAAACATGTTCCATTCCCGATTAGTAATAAAAGAGCTTTTATTCCTTTTACTCTTGTTCATAGTGATATGTGTGGTCGATCTATCGCTCCGAATGTTTTTGGTGGTCGATGCTTTATGTCTTTTATAAACGATTGTACTCATGTCACATGGATCTATCTCCTCAACCCTAAATATGATGTCAGTAATGTCTTTCCTAATTTTAATAATATGTTTCATACTCAATTTGCTGTGAAAGTCAGACAATGCAAAAGATTTTTTAATCGAATTCTCTTCACATTGGGTTTTGACGAGTTGAAAGAGGTAAGCTATTTGAGAACTCAAAAGAGGGTAAGGATGCTGGATTGACACTTTGGGGTGAAATATACAGGGAATTAGTGTCTTGAAGAATATGTCAAAGCTGAAATTCCCTCAAGTTCTCCCCTGAATAGCGGATTTGGAAAAATAGGATACTATTTAAAAATCGGTGACATCCAAGGAATTGTACATCTTCCTAGTAACATTTGTACCACTTTTTATTTGAAGAATATCCTAGGAAATTGCATTTTACTAATTTGAGATCAAGTTTGGTTTGATGGTGGTGGTGTATATGAGTAAATGTTGAACAATCATAGACTATGAGTGGAAGATCAGAAGCAAAAGATTTAGCATGAGGGAAGGCTTGTAGAAGGACTTCATGAGGTTTCTGAAATTGCAGCACTTGACTAGATATTCTATTGATGAGTGATCTATCTACCTCAAGTAAGTGTCTATTTTTCCTTTCGACTACCCCATTTTGTTCAGGGGTGTCTTATGAATTAAGAACCTAAGGCTGATGTAAATTATTCCCTACCAGTATCACTCTTGAGTATCTGAGTTTTGTTTTTGAACTAGGTGTGATGTGAATCATGGAATAAAAAGACTTAAAGATTTCCATAAATTTGAATTTTTTCTACATAAAGAATGCCAAGTGGTTCTAGTATGATCGTCTATGAATGTTATTAGCCAACGAGCCCATTAATATTTTTCACTTGTGAGGGTCCACAAATGTCTATGAATTGATGAGAATTTATGTGAATGCTTATATTGAATGCTAGGATAAACATGTCATGTGTGCTTTGCAAGTTGGCTTATTTCATAATGAAAAAACTTGGCTTATGTCATGTGTACTCATTCACAATGGCTGATGCATCTATGATCAAAAGGTTGTAATCTCTAGTTAAAAAATCTTGTGGTAGTAGAAGTGTTAAAAACCAAAAAAAATGCAATTCACTCGTGTCACCTCTAGTTCAACCAAAGCTAGGGAAATTTGCAGTCATATAAAAATCCTCTATTCCACTTCAACATAAACAAATTTATTCAACTTGATCATGCATGTAAGGACTAAGGACGACTGGTAGCTTGGAAACTATTCTCGCATTGCTAAGCAAGGAAGCATCAGTCCAAAGCAAGTTAAGCCCTCCCGTCCCCTTCTCTTCCCCATTTTTCTCCATCTCAGATGAAATTCTAATTACTTTTTTAGGGACATTAGCCTCTACTAAATATTAAAATATGTGCATGACTCTAACAGATAAAAGGATTTCCAACTGTAGCGTCACCAAGAAGAACAGGTCTTAGATACAAGTAATGCATAAAGAGTTAGTCTATTGTCTCTCTAAGCAGGAAATATCAGTTGGTGCAAGAAACACAGAAAACCATAGACCTTATATTTTGCATCCTGAAGTAGTAGAAATTTCCCCACTGTTGTGAAGTCCCTTGATGATGTTTTGCTATGTACTGCTTATGAGCCCATTCCTAGCAAAACAACCAGGCCCTTATTGAGGCATATTTTGTGAACAAAGATTTGTGCAACATAAATCATGGCAGACATTTAATGGGGCCTAGAGATGATGAAGGATAACCACCAACACGTGATCAAAGAATAGAAGGGCAACAAGGAGTAAAGTCTCCAAATTATGCATTCTTAAAACAGTGAGGAAATGAAATTTCCTACAAATATACATCTTCTAAAAGAATTGAAAAGGATATTCTGAGGCAACAGAAACCCACTCTCTAAAGCCCTGATCCCATTTAGGAACAACAAGAGGTCTCAATCTTTTATAGTAAGCATCCTACTCCTATTTTTAATTACCTCACTTCTCTAACCCCATCCCCTCCCACCACCAATGAAAAAAGAAAATTGGTGACTACCTGTTCATGCTCGGGAAGTGGGTAGACATCACCAAATATAGTTACCCGTGCATTTGATAAGCCACTCCATCCAGGTATCTGTAAACTGTCAATGAATTACATAAAGAAAGAATAACTAAGGCAGATATTCAGGGCAAAAAGAACAGAATAATTAACCTGCACGACAAGGCTACACCTAGGGTCTGCTAATAAATTCCGTGTGTGGATAGCCAGTGGTGAAAATGAAAATATTGGATCTGCAAATTGGAAGAAAAAAAAAGATATGCTATATTAATCTAATAATTTGTACACAAAATCAGCTTCGCTGTGCAATTTAAAGTAAGATGCTTTTATAAAGGACAAGCACATAGTTACAAAAGCTATTACAGTGAAAAAATAGGATACAAAGATGGGTAACAAAAACTTAAGTCTAAGGTTTCTTTTAAATAAATTGTATAATGAGTGAGAAAAGTAGAGAGAGAAAGAGAGCGAGTGCTTTTGGTCGTTCATTATCCGGTGAGGAATGGACTGTTTTTGTTGGAAATCTTAGTAAGAGAGTTACTAGAGGTGAGTTAAGAGAGATTTTCAACCATTATGGAAGAACAGTGAGGGTCTTTATTCCAAGTTTTATGATTAATCCGAATTATAAGTCATCCACGTTTGCTTTCGTGCAATATGCGATGGAGGAAGGTTGCAGAAGAGCAGTTCAGAATGTCAACGGAACGCTGATTGATGGGAAGAGAGTCACAGTGGGGGTTGCAAAGTACAAGAGGGGCAGGAAAAGAGAAGCAAATGTAAAAGGAACTCAGTTGGAAGGATTTAAGCCAGATAGAGAGGCTAATGGTAGACAGCAGGCTGATTTGGAGAAACCAAGAAGTTTGAGAGATGGCAGAACGTACAAGGAGGTTGTGAATGTGGCTAACACTAGGAGTTTGGATCAACAATGAATGGTGAATAGGGGAGGCCAGAAGAAAGCAAATGGAGTGAGAAATGTATGGGATATGCACATCCCATCAGAAGATTTTTACTGGGTGAAAAACTCCTTAACAGGGGTTATTAAAGATCCCTTTCAGCCTGATATGGTGGTGAGAGCTTTGGCAAAGGAGGGTTTCCAGGTCAAGATAGTAAGGTGGGGATATGTTAGGAATGCCAGTATTATTATGTTCAATACTAATGAAGAGTTTTTAAAGGCGTGGTCGAGTCTTAGAGAGAAATTCTACTGCTGGTTTGATTAGGTAGATCCATTGTTGAGTGAAGATGGAGTCCCTTTGGCTTATTGCTTAGTCGAGTTGGTTGGTTTACCGCTTCTTAGCTGGAGTGTACCTTTTCTGGAGAAGCTTGGAGGTAAGTGGGGAAAGGTTGTTAGTATAATGGAGGAAACAAGAAATAGAGATGACCTCTCTTCGGCCAGAATGTTGTTAAGGGTTGCAAGCCCTTTTGATGTACAAGAATCTGTTATTGTAGGTTCTTATGGAAGATCGTTTAAAGTTAAAATTAATGTGGGATCCAGCTCTAAATCTATCTCTGAAGCTTTTGGAGACATGAGGCAGAATTTTTCATATGGCAGCTGCAGTGATGATGTGTCAAAGGGGGAAGAGGGTGGAAACACAGAGAAGAAAGAAGACAATAGTGAGAACTCAGCAGAAGGATTATGGTCAAAGGTTGACACGTGGCTTCATAATAGTCAAGTTAGGGGGATGTCAGAAGAAGGTGGGGAACATTATCTAAAAAAGAAGTCTGACTCTTTTCCCAATACTAATAGGTGTCAGACAAATTTGAATTTGAATTAAATCCAAGTGGGGATTATGCGGGCCTTGGGCTGCGAGAGGTTGTGGAACAGAGTCTTCCAGCCCATTCTGATTCTAATTGGGAGTCTTATTCTCCTGTTACTAAAATTATCCCAACTGGCCCTGTTGTGAAGTTGAATTGGGCCAGGTCAGTAAATCAAAATAAGGTTCAGAATCTGTCTGAATTAATTGCAGAAGAAAGAAATGTACCATTAGAAGAAGAAATAGAGGGGGGGTCAGGAAGATGATGGTATTGTTCTTGGTCAGCTAGTAGAAGGAACACTGAGGCAAGCGGAAAACAGTGAAATCATTGTGAAGTCTTCTAAGCAGTTGAATAGGGGATTTCCTGTTCCTACATGTTTGTCAATTAGAAGTGCCCCTGATGGTAGAAGGGGAAGAGGACGCTATGCTCGAGTTTATAGAAGGTCAAGAGATAGAAGAATATAGTTGTGTTCTGCTATTGAAGATGATGACTTTCGCCCACTGGCTACTTCGAAGCTTAAGCAGAATATTTTTGATTTTAGAAGAAGTCAACAGTTTTCTAGAACTATTATTGGAAGTGGACATGATAAGGACTTCAATTGTTCTGTCGATTTCCAGAATACACCTACGATCCCTGTCATTAATAGTGATGTCGTCGAGAGTGTGGAATCAACTACTGTGACTGCTTCAGGGAAAGGAAATGAAAATAGAAGGAAGAGGAGAGTCTTAATTTCTGAAGCTCTTGAACTGGTTAATAATTCGACTATTTCATCATCCTATTCTTCGGAATTGATGAAGGAAGCATTGGATACATGGGAAGTCTGTGAGATGTTAGGAATTTCATTTAGGAAGGGAAGGAGGCTTTTATTGAAAAATTATTAAGTCTTGAAAAAGAGTCGGATGTAGTAAGGGGAGGATGATGGTTGGTCTGTATATGTTGTGTGTAGGGGGGTATTTCTTTTTTTATGAATAAATTAAGTATTATTTCATGGAACATTAGGGGTCTCGGGAGGAGTGAAAAGTGTGTAGCTATAGCAAGGATTGTTAAGAAGACGAAACCAGTTTTTCTGTTCATTCAAGAATCCAAGTTGGAACGATGCCATGGGTCGATTCTAAGAAGGATAGGGGGTAACTTGTTAAAGGGGGTGCAGGTCTCTCCAGCATAGGGTTCATCGAGGGGTTTGATTTCTTTGTGGAATGAGGATGTGGTTCAAGTCACAGATCAGTATGTCCATGGTAGGTTTTTGGCTTTAGTGGGAAAATTTAAGAATGGTCCGATGGAGTTTGTAGTTATTAATGTTTATGGGCCTCCAGTTGAAGCTGAGAAGGAGGATTTTTATGAGGAGCTGCTAAATTATGTTAGAGCTATAAATTTACCAGTTTGTTTAAGGGGAGATTTCAACGCGTATCTTGATCCAGAAGAAAAGATGGGGAAATCACAAAATTGGCATACTATCGATATTTTTAGGTCTTTTGTGCAACATGCCAAACTTATTAACTTGCCTGTGTCAGGAGGTTCTTTCACTTGGTGCAGTAATAGAGAATCTTCAACATGGGTGAGACTAGACCGGTTCCTAATTTGTGCAAGATTCCTTAAGAATTTCCCTAACATTGCGCAATTTCTTTTACCGAAATCTATTTCAGGCCATAATCCGGTTTTGCTGGAGGATAAGTCTACAAATTGGGGCCCTAAACCTTTTAAGTTCTTTAACTTTCTTTTAGAAGAACAAGGTTTCGATGACTTAGTTGAAAAATCTCTGGTAGTAGATGAAAGGAAGACAATAGTGGTGGAATTTTCAAAATACTGCAGGAAGCTAAAAATAAAATCAGGAACTGGTCTGGAAGTGGCCATTTAGGGCTGGCAGAGTCCATTTCGTTGCTGGAAATCAAAATTAACAGTTTGGACTTAAAGTGTCAAGGTGGAAATTTGTCTGCAGGGGAACGGGATCAATTGACTGAATTTAAAAAGGAATTATAGAGACTGCTAAGGATCGATTTCAAAAATCCAGGAATAGGTGGATTAAAGGTGACGACAGGAATACAAGGTTTTTTCACCTTAGTGCTATGAAAAGGAATAGAGGAGGTGTTTACAGAGCAAGAAGTGTGGCAAGCAATTTCATCTTCTAAAAGTGCAAAAGCTCCTGGGCCGGATGGCTTCACCATGGGTTTTTACAAGTACTGGAAGTTTTTAAAGGTGAAGATTATGGAGTTTTTTACAGATTTCTACAATGGAAAGCAATGGGTTCATGGGGTTAATCACGCTTTTATTACCTTGATTCCAAAGAAAGGTAATCCTGAGAGTATTATAGATTATAGACCTATTAGTGTAACATCCCAAATTATGGGTTAGTGACCAAATTGTAAAGTTTTAGAATTTGGTAACTAAAGTAGAAGAATGGATTAGTTCAGTAATTTATTTGAAAGTATTTCCTAAAAGTTGTTAATAATTATTAAAGGAACTAAAGGGTAAAATGGTCATTTGATCATTTAAGGAATTAAAAATGTGATAGTGGGGAATATATATTTACACGTGGAAGTGTAGGAAACCAAAAATAATGTTTCCAGAATTCTCTTCTCCTCCTTTCTTCTTTGTGCGTGAAGCTCCAGCTCAAAGGTGAGTTTCTTAATTAGTTGGTTATTTGTTGAATTAAAAGTTGGGTTATGATTCTTAGGTGATACTTAAGCTTAAGGAAAGCTTAAGTTATCTTAAAATCAAAAGATAAATGAGTTAGGGAAGATTAAAGATTTGGAGTTCTTGAGTGAAATCTTGAAATGGAGTTGATAAGTTGAACTTGAAGTTAAATTTGACTTGTCATCAGCTTAATTAAGAAGTATTAAGTGTTAGAATTGGATTTGAAACATGTGGAAAATAGGGTATGATTCTTGAAGTTCCTAAAGAGGAGAGGATATTAAGGTTAAAGATGAGATAAATGAATATAAATGAGTTTAAATATGTGTATGAGAGTTAGATATATTAAAGGAGGTGAAAGATGAAGAGTTGAGATGAAAAGAGAGTGACTTTCGTGCTTGCAATGGAATTTCTGGGTTGTGTGCATCGATGCATCTTCAATGTGCATCGATGCACTCTCAATTAAACAAACATCGAATGTCATTTATGCACCGATGCACAGGTAGTGCATCGATGCACCGATAGGGAATGCATCAATCTAAGGATTAAGATTGATTCAAAGCAAACAAGGCTAAGGTGAGTGAACATTATTTAGTATATGAGGTTCAATGGAAAAATAAGACTTGCGATAAGTCTATTTCCAATAGTGAAAAGCATGAATTCATAGAAGTATGTGTTTGTTATGATTTATATGTGTGCATGAGTATATGTGTTATCGATATGAATATGGTAAGTAAAAGGGATAAATGGTGAGGATAAGAATAATAATAATAAGGATAATGAAATGATAGATATATGTGAATATATGTATTGATGTGTTTTTGTATGTATTGTAAGATTATATGTTTACGTGATAACATGATAAGATGACAATGATTTACATGTCATATGAACACATGAGAAATGTTATGAGCTATATGAAAGAGAAAGTATATGTGATACATGAGGGTGAATCCTATGTTTATATGAATATGAACTCATATGAGAGTTGACATGAACTACGTGATTACATGTATATGTGAATGAAACCATGAGCTTATATGAATATATAATATGGTTACATGAATATGTAAAAGGATATAAAAGATAATGCCCATGTTATGGGTCATGAGAGCTAAGGGTATAGTTGGCATGCCAAGAGTCGAGGGTTTACCTATGTTCTACGGAACATATGGACAGTTTTACCTATTTCTTTCGAGACATATGGACAGTATACCTATGTTCTAAGGAACATATGAACAGTTTACCTAGGTTCTTTGAGACCTATGGACAGTTGCCGAGGTTCTTTATGACCTCTTGATAGTTACCGGGGTCTTTGTGACCTCTGGATAGGTCTTTCGGGACATTTATATGAGCTGTGGTGACAGCATAGTGGTGCACAACCTCAATAGACTCACATATCTACAGTTCTCACAGGTGCACATGGGCTAACAAGAGATAACATTGAATGTAATGTATGTGATGTATATATGTGTTTTGTGATATGAATTATATGATATGATATATGTGTGTTAGTGATTATTGTATATGTTATAAGATATATGATATGAGCTTAATTGATCATATAAACAAGAGAATAGAAATATGAAAGGTGATAATATGATAATGATAGGAAAGAAGATAATTATATGTATGCGTGGATTATATATATATATAAATAAATATATATATATATTAATATATGAAAGGTGCATAGTAGGAATTATTATATGTATATGTGGGTGTGATGCTTGTATGTGATATGTTAGTGGAAATTTTTCAAGCATGATTACGAGTTAGAGTTTATTATATGTTTTATGCCTCACTAAGTCAACGACTTAGCGTGTGATTGTTTCACACGTAGGTTACAGAAGTGAGAAGAGTAAAGAGCTAAGAGGAGCAAGACAGGTCAGCATTTTCCTTATAAAGTTTCAGATCAGAAAATAGATGATTTAAATGTGTATGGTTAATCTGAATATAGTTGGCATGTACTAATTGAGTGAGTTATATAGGCTCTGATCGATTTTTGGTTATTTTGGTAAATTTATGTAAATAAACAACTTTTATTTTAATGAAAGTTTTGAATTTTCTTTGAATTTTGTCAAGAGTCAAAGTTTGAAAAGTCAATGTGACACCTCAGAATCGTATTCGGGTCGGATACGGGTTGAGGGTGTTACAATCAGTCTAGTGGGCAGCTTGTATAAGATTCTCTCTAAAGTTCTTTCAAAAAGACTTATTTCTTGTGTTAAAGATATTGTTAGCCCTACACAGTTTGCTTTCATTCCGGAGAGACAATTGTTGGATTGTGCTTGTTTAACCAATGAAGGCATCGATTACTGGAGGAAATAAAGACTGCAGGGGGTTGTTTTTAAAGTGGATTTTAGCATAGCATATGACACTGTGGACTGGCAAATTTTGTTAAGGCTTATGAAGGAGATGGGCTTCGGAGAAAAGTGGTGTTCTTGGATTGATCAGTGTATTTCCACAGCCTCAATATCTGTTTTATTGAATGGGTCTCCTACAAAAGAGTTTCATATTGTGAAAGGTTTGCGACAAGGTTATAGTCTTTCTCCTCGTTTGTTTAATGTGGTTAGTGAACTTCTTCATATGATGTTAACTAAAGCTGTGGATTCGGGCTTATTCCAAGGATTTTCTTTTGGAAAGAGTCAAAACTGTTTCAATTTGACTCATCTCCAGTTTGCTGACGACTTAATTATTTTTTGCCGAGCCTCCATCACTCAAATTAAAAATGTTAGACGAGTGTTGACGGTTTTTAGTTTTATGACGGGGCTTCATCTTAATTTAGTTAAAAGCAAACTTTATGGTATTAATGTGGAGGAGGACATCATTGGAAATTGGGCTAAGGACATTGGTTGCTCTATTGGTTCCTTTCCGACGGTTTATTTAGGCCTTCCGTTAGGGGCTAAAAGGAACAGTGAGAAATTGTGGGAGCCGGTCATCGTCAACTTCGATAAGAAATTGGCGGGATGGAAAGCTTCCTCTTTTTCTATGGCCGGTAGATTGGTGCTTATCAAGTCGGTATTATCCTCCTTACTTATCTTTTATCTTTCCATTTTCAAGATTCCATCTAAGATTTGTCAAAAATTAAACTCTTTGATGGCGAACTTTTTATGGGGTGGAGGGAAGAGAAGAAGAAAATGCATCGGGTGAGTTGGAATAAGATTTGTAAACCGAAAAGTGCAGGTGGTCTAGGAGTTGTTGACTTGAAGATTACTAATAGAGCTTTGTTGGGAAAGTGGGTTTGGAAGTTTGCAAATGAAAAAGATTCCTTGTGGAAGAATTTCTTATGCTCTAAACAAAGTGTTAGTTGTCTTTCTGTGGATGTTAATAAAGTCCTTTCTCACAAGGACTCTTGGATTTGGAGAGGTATTGTGAATAGCTACATGAAGGATGATTTCATTGGAGGATGCATTAGATCTCATGCGAGGCTACAAGTTGGGAATGGCAAATCGATTTCCTTTTGGAATGATACATGGCTGGGGGATTTTCCTTTGAAAGTTCTTTTTCCTAGGATTTTTGCTCTTTCATCAAACCAAGGGGGTAAGGTTGATGATTTTGGTAGCTTTGATTCGAATGGATGGGAGTGGAATATTAAGACTATGAGGAATCTATGTGATTGGGAAGTGGTTCAGCTGGTTGGATTATTGGGTAAGCTCAATGATATCAAATTAAATGAATCTTTGTAGGATTGTTTGCTTTGGGATGGCGTGGGTGAGGGGTTGTATTCTGTAAAAGCTTGCACGACTTCAATCTCCTCAGTCGATGAGGATCCTTTTATGTGGAGTAAATGTGTTTGGCAGGGATTGGTTCCTCCTAGAGTAGAGGTTTTCCTTTGGCAAGTATCACTCAATAAATTAGCGGTTAGAGTGGATTTGAAGAAAAGGGGAGTCCCTATAGGGGAGGACATTCAATGCCCCTTTTGCAATCAAGCTGAAGAATCAGTTCAGCACCTGTTTATTTCCTGCCAGTTTTCGTGGGTGTTATGGAATAGAATCATAGGCTACTGGGGTATCAGGTTGGCCTTACCTGTTGATCCTTCTTTACTTCTAAATTCATGGTTTGTTTTGAGGCCTTATTCAGATATGTGAAAGTTTATTCCGGGGGTTGTTTTTTGGTTAATTTGGAAGATGAGAAATGAAATTATTTCTGAAAGAGGTAAGCTGGACACATCCTCACTGTTTTTCACAGTTAGGTTAAGGTTAGCGAAATGGTTCCTAGCTAAGTATCCTCTACTCTCTATTCAAGTGGATTCTTTAATTGGGGATCCTTCATTGGCTGATAAAATTTCAGCTTCTATGGATTTGATCAGGCCTGTGGTTAGCTGGAGTCCTCCTCCAGTCGATGATTTTAAGTTTAACGTGGATGGTGCTGTGAGTAGTGTTGGGATGTTAGCTGAAATTGGGGGAATTCTAAGAGATTGGAATTGGATTAAGCTTATGTAGTTTTCAGAAAAAACAGGTCCTACTCCTATCATTTTAGCAGAGTTGAAGGCTATCAAAAGAGGCTTACACATCTCTCTGTCATCAGAATGGGTAATGAAGGGAAGGCTCATTATTGAAAGTGATTGCAAGTTAGCCATGGATTGGTTGAAATATCAGGAGTCGGTTCCACCTTTTCTTTTAAATTTTGTTAAGGATATTGCGGCTACTGTTTCTGAGAATGAGGTCATTGTGAGGTGGATTCCGAGAAGCTGTAATGGCGAGGCAGATTTGCATGCAAAGGAGGGGATTGGGTAATGGTTCACTTTGTTGTACTGAGTTCGGAGGTTTTATACCAAGGGTGTTATTAGAGTGTGTTTAAGTTTTATGTATCTACAAGGAGTGGTTTAAGTCTTATGTAATCTATTTATAATCAATATATTCAGGTACTCTTTTCCTCCTTCCGCTAGTCGGTTCTAACCTCATGGTAAAGGACTACTAAGAAGGAGGTTTTTAATGAGACATACTATTCCTATAAAAAAAACAAAAGCTATTACAGTTCAAATAAAATATTAACAAACGAAACAACAAAAATGGTTTAACAAAATGTTCACAATAATGGTGGAATACTACTTACGGCCCATTGAATCAGGTGCAAAATCCACCAGAGTGCCAAAAGGATACCCTTCTCGTCGATGGTGCATCCGAGACATTACCGTGCATAAATGAGCAAATCTGGCCTTGAATTACAGAGGCCAACAAATTCAGGACAGTTAAATTAAAATAAACTAGAAACAAAACACAGGGAAAGAGAATAGATGATTTTTCCCCTCTTTCACATTTCAAGATAAGATAGTAACTAGAACTCAAATAAAAGACTTTACTTGTTCCATCAGATTGCGGACAGCTAAAGGCGGCCGAGGTAACCCATGCGCTGAAGTTGCACTGTGCACTCCACCAGATATTGGTGTTCTGAAAAGTCCAGCTCTGTTACCCACAGTTACTCCACTTCCATGGGTTTCAACCTTTATTAACTTATCTACATCATTTTCACTGCTTTTATTCTGATTTGAATCACCCTTCAGAAGATAAGAGAGCCCATTAATACTGAACCAAAGCAGTCATTTGATACATCCACTAAGAATCTATGTCAGCCAAGACAAGAAAAGGATTCCAAATATCATGCCAAAAGTACACATACTGCAATATTATTGCCCCAACTTTTTATTTTTCTTGAAGTACCCATATCCAGAACCCATTTCGGATGCATTTATTGACATAGGCATAGGGAAATGACCCATGGATAAACTTCAACAAAATTAAACCATATTGGATACTCACAACAGAGTTCGAATTCCCAGGTAACAAAGCTTGTAAAATCTAGTAACATCGACACCCTTGTAAAAGTTTTAAACCATCATTTAATTCCTTGCAGAAAATTTTCAAACTTCTCAAGAGTTTCATTTGATTTTTACTTTAGCCTATTTTGCATTTGCTTTCTTTCTCCAGAATTGGTAAAACAAAAAACTAAAAAATTGTAGTAATAAAGTAATTCATTCTCCACGAAAAGTGATCAAACAGTTCAAAACTAACACAACTAAAACATGAAATTATAACTACTATCTTTCAAGAACATAGCATTTGCTTTCGTAAACAAATCATAAAGTTATAGTGGAACCCAGGAAATAAAGCCAGCAAATGAATCATATGACAGCATTTGGTACAGTACCTGAGATACAGATCGGCTATCTTCAGAAAATAAGTGAAACCCAGTATTAAGGGCGAGAGACTGCGGCTGTTCTTCATCTGGAACCTCACGAGGTAGAGCTTGAAGATAAAGCCTATGAAACTGAGAGGTTTCAGAGTTGAATTTGAGAGATCCAATTCGTTGATTTGAAGCTTTGATTAAAGAAAAAGACGGAGAAGAAGGTAAGTGGGTGTTGAGAAAAGGGTATGTCTCACGTAGATTGGAGAAGGACACTGGACTCGAAAGAGATGCCATTGGAAAAACATAGAGAAAATTGGGATCGAAAACGAACAAGGGTAGCTCTAGTGTTTGTTTATAAATTAAATATCCCATGCCATGCGGCAAAAGGATATTTAAAGGAAACAAAATTGTAATTAAGAATCGTTACCTTTTCAAATTAGCTTTTTGTTATTATAAGAACTTCTGTTACTAAAAGAAAAGTAATAAAGAATAAAAACTACAAAATAATTTTTAAATTGGTTAAAATAAATAGATAAGTTTTTTTTTAATTTTTAAATATAAAATTATTAAAATATTATTATTATTATTGTTAACATCATGTTTAAAATTAATAATTTTATCATTTGGAAAATGGCGTACGCTAAGTCTTTCCTCTCGGTGCACGTTAATGGGTCTAATGTCGCCTGAAGATTTTGCCTCACCGATTGCGTTTTTCTGCTGGGTTTTTTGCTCTCCTCTTCTTTTCTGTGGTTCTGCTGGGCTTATGTGTGGTGCTTTGAGTAGTGATGGTGCTGATTGGAGGAAGCTCTTCGCGGCTGCGGAGGAGCAAAACCTTAATTTCTTTCTGCCATTGGTTACTGATGGTTAGGTGGTGGTTAAGCCTCCGGTGAGGTGTTTAATGAAGGGATTTCGGAATGGAGGTATGCTCTTGTTGGTCAATTTTTGGGTGGTGCTCCTAATTTCAGTGCGTTGCAGAAGATCGTTGATCTCTTGTGGGGGAAGAATTCGCCGGTGAAGGTTGGTCTTGCTGGTTCAAGCTTATACGTTTTCTCTTTTGTAAATGCAACGGCTAGGGACTGGGCTTTAGATAATGGTCCTTGGCATATACAGAACAAACTTGTTTTTCTGCAGAAATGGGAACCCAATCTTCGGAAATTGGAATTTGATTTGGTTAAAATGCCCATTTGGGTTCAGCTGTTTGACGTCCCTTTGGAACTCTTTTCTCAGCGTGGTCTTAGTTACATTGCTAGTGGGTTGGGTAATCCTTTACATATGGATTCTGTCACAGCGTCTCGGCAACGATTGGAATTTGCCAGAGTTTGTATTGAGTTTGGTGCGGGGGGAAGATTCCTAAACATGTTGATGTTTTGCTTTGTGATGGCTCGGTTGCAAGAGTTAGGGTGGTTGTTCCTTGGATGCCCTCTTCGTGTGCTACTTGCAAAACTTTTGGGCACTCGGGGAAGTATTGTTCTAATGGGCAGAAAGTGGATAAAGTCTGGGTTGAGAAGAAAACTGCTTCTGATTTGCCTGTGGAGAGGGATGCTGCTGTTGATACTATAGTTGGGAAGGTTGTTCTTCCCGATTCTGTGGATGCTCCAGTGGTTCTACTTTAGAAAGGTGATTGTTCAGCTGGTGTTTGTGCTTTGATTGCTTCTGAACAGTCTGGGGATCCGATTGTTTTGGAGGTGGCTCAGGAGGTTTCTCATCCGCATCGTGGAAGGGGTACGCCTGCCAAAAATAAGACTGTTCTGTCTGGCTCGAAAAACAAGTTTGAAGTCTTGAGCTGCATTGATCCTGAGGATGCTGAGGGGTTCCAGAGGTTAGGAAATCTCGGGCTGCTTCGCAAGGTGTTACTGCACTTTTGCAGGATTTCAAATTGAAAAAGAAAGACAAAGTTGATAAGGCTAAGGGTTGTGATGGTGCTGCGGTTGCGGCTGGTGGTTCCTCCTCTGTTTCTCGATTATGATAGTGTGTTTTTGGAATGTGAGAGGGCTGAATAATCCTCTCAAGCAGGATAGGTTGTTTCGTAGGATTTCTGATATTGGTGTTGATGTATTGTGTATGCTTGAAACTAGAGTTAAGGAGACTAATGCTCCTGGGATTATTGCTGGGAGGTTCGTTGATTGGAATTAGTGTTTTAACTATTGTTCTGCTGTTAGCGGTCGAATTTGGGTGCTTTGGGAAAAAGGTTTGGATTTCTCTGTTCAGTCGGTTATGGATCAGTCCATTTCTTTGAAGGGTAATTTTGGTGGTCAGGATATGTTCATTTCTGCTGTATATGGTAGTAACGTTGGTGTGGCTAGGAGGGCTCTTTGGCAGCATTTGAAGATGCTGGAAAGGGAAGTGGATGAGCTTCCCTGGATAATTGGTGGTGATTTTAATGTGACATTGCATCATTCCTAGAGTTTTGTTTGGGATGGTGATCATATGACTGCTGATATGAAGGAGTTCCGTGATTGTGTGGATTATCTGGGGCTTCTGGATCATCCTTTTTGTGGTCCGCTGTTTACTTGGTCGAATAAGCAGGCTGAGTGTTTTTTGGCTTGAAAGTTGGATAGGGTGCTTGTTAATCCTAGGTGGTCTTGTTTGTTTACTGATTCTTTTGTGGAATTCCTTGCCCGGGGGATTTCGGATCACTGTCCTGCTGTGGTATGGTTATCAAAGGAGGTTCCTGCTAATCGGCCGAAGCCTTTCAAATTCTTTAATTTTTGGGCTAAGCATTCTGAGTTATTGGGTACTGTTAAGGATTCTTGGCCGCAGCCTGCTTCTGGTAGTCCTATGCAGATTTTGTTAGATAAGCTGAAAAGACTCCAAAGGGTGCTTGAAGTCTTTTAATAGAACTCATTTCGGGGATATTTCTAGGCGGGTGAAGGCGAAGAGGGATTAGTTGGAAAGGGTGCAGCTTCTTAATTTGGCTGCTGATAGTGTGGGCTCGGATTTGCTAGGGAGTTGGTTCTGCGGCAGGAATCAAAGGAGCTGAGACTTGCTTTTATAAACCAAAGGCTAAAGTGCGGTGAATTCAGGAAGGTGATCAAGGTTCTAAATTTTTCCATTCTGTTGTTGCTGCGAAAGTAAAAACAAGTTGGGAAAGATTTCCAGTTTGCCTGGAATGTATCAACTGTATCCTCAGTCTATCAAAGCTGAAGTTTTCCATAGCAATCCAATACTTGACCCCCCATGGCCCATCTCATTTTTTATTTTCATTTTATCATCTTCCCAACAATTTTTTAATCTCTATCAGTCATCCTCGTTCCTATTTCGCTACAACCAACCATCAATTGAACACTCACCTACGCCTTTACTTCATTCATTATAGTTGAATCATTCATCAGATCAGCTCCATAACCATCCCTTCTTAACACATGTAAAAATGAAGATGGTCGCCTAGCCTTATGATTCGAATCTTTGAAATCACCTTCTCGCACAAGTGTATATAGTCTATGGGTGCTTTCCCTCTTTTGTTTTGCCACATGTTACGGTGTTTTGGACACGTTTTCTTTATTGTTCAAAAAAAAACTTGACACGTGGAAAATAAAAGCTACATGATTTTTATAATTAAAAAATAAATATGGAAAAATGAAAAACAGCACGTGTCAGCTGTGGTAAATTATTTTTAATAAAATTATAAAAATATTCTTATAATATATATTATTTAACTTTTTATTTTTTATTTTAAAAATAAATTATAAAATTAATATATTATATTTGATGTTAAGGGATGGTTGTTATTCATAAAACTCCCTAATTCGAACGAGTCATTTATGGAGAGTATTTGAATATTTATTATCAAATGATTAAAAATCTTTTAAATAAATATTATATTATAATTACTCCGGATTAATACAAAAATAAACTAGGTGGTTAACTCGACTGAATGATTAAGCCTATCTATAAAAAAATTACATCATAATATTTTTTTTCCTAGGATTTTAGGTTCAAAACTCATTCCTATCTAAAGCATTATTCATATATTTCAACATTTTTCTATCAATTAGTGTCGCCAAGTTATCAGATAACCTTAATTTATTAAAGAAAATAACATATGGACGTATTACGTCATTTTCATTAATGATGTAATTAGTCTATCATCAAAATAAAAGTTCTCCTTACTGATAGTGATTAAATAAATGTTTTTCAATTTTGATAGCTTAAATGCAAGCACCTTAAAAGTTTAGAGACCAACAATATAGTTTACCCCATATTTTAATTGATGAATAATATTATTTTATTATCAATTATTTTTCATCGAGTATATAAATGAGTGGATAGATTATATCACATCTACCTCTATTATTATTAGGTTTATATTTGGGTCATCGTATTTTAAAATTATAATTGAATCATTCAATTAACCGATTACAACAATCAAGTCATTGTGGTGTTAAATCTAGAACAATTGCATAACATGTACTAATATTTTATTCATGAAGAATCCATGTGTATAGTTTTTATGAGTAAATTACACCATAAATCACTATATTATTAGTAAGTTATAATGGTGTCATTGCATTTTAACAGTTACAATTAAGCTGTCAGTTTTGTCTACGGTGGTGACCTTGATAAACCTTAAATTTTACGATAAGATTTTACTCAATTTCACCATTTGATTTATCATATTAGATACCGAAGAATCTCTCTAAAAAAATCATGAAATTATCCTAAAAATTTTAAATTTCTTGAATTTCGACTCATATTATTATTGTCAGATGATCTCTGTCTCGAAATATGTCTTTTCTTTCATCGATGGAAGTCTCTTCATCATTTGAATTGTCGAATGGAGCCCTTCATCTTCAAGAAACACAAATGTCCTGACCAATAAAATATATAAAAATATTTTATAACTTTATCTTTTAAGATTTAATAATATAACAATTTTTTATTTGTTTGGGTGAATACAAGGTGATATCTGTTTAAACACTCTCAATCATTTGATATTGAACATACATATATAGTGCTCGAACCTGAAATTTCAAAAAATAACAATTCCTTAATCACTGAGATAATTTAGTTCGTACATAATATAATAATTTGATTATTATAATAAATCAATAAATATAAATTTACTAATAATATAATAAGATGGGATATAATTTGTCCTAACTAAATTTTATCACATCTTAAAAATGAAATAGTTCCTGGGCCTAAGGAAATCACAACCAATTAAATCAAGAGTCTCAAGTTTCCTCTTCATTTCTTTTTCTTCCCAATAATCAAATAATCTTGATTAGCCATAGGTAGTCACTGGACTATTGGTGACTTTTTAGTTAAGCTAGTCGAGTTTAAAAATTATAAACTAGTCACTTAAGTTATCAAAAGTCAAAAAAATGATCATCAACCATTAATTTATATGTGTAGACACTCATTTTCTTATTATTTTTTCCTCCAAAAAAAATAGACATAAAAAGAAAATTAACTAGAGTTCATCTCCTAGGAGGACTCTTCCACCACCACATCCTTTAAACTAACAACAACCTTATCCCATGAAATCCAATATCCCACTACAACTCAACTTCCCCAAGAGTCCCATAAAATTTGAACTCTCACCATCATCTCTCATATATCCCTATTTAAACCCATCTTCACACCTTGTAAAGGGGAGGAAAATTCTTGAAGAAGAAAAACCTGCGAAAAGAGAAAAGGAAAAGCTCCATGAATCATGGGAAGTAGAATGCCAAAGCATCAAGCCGGCAAGTAAATCTTCAAATCTCGGGCGAACCAACATTCAACAGCAAATTTTTTTTTTAACTGGAAGAAGGTAACAGAACCGAAACTGTTTTCATTGTATCAACACAATTTTGGAGTTTGCATGGTTGATGGTTGAATGCTTTCAAATTCGGTGAAAGTGCTTGTAACGAGCGTGGCTTTATTTCTTTCCTTGGGTAGGATGATCAAATTCTGTATTGGTTTTTTTTTATGCATTGGAATAATTAAAATCTGCATTATCTTCATTAAACAAGACAAGAAAATCATAATTTATGGCTTTGCATTCCCTGGTTCATTTGTTTAAAACGTGATTTCCATCTCTTCTTGGCTAGCATGATTGATCTCATTTTCTTGATTTTAGTTTTTATGGTATTAATTGGTAATTAAAACATTAGCCGAAGTTTAATTAGTTTAATTTTACCAATAATCGTAATTTGATTTGGTTAATTAATTGGTAACAAACGTGACTTCTTCTTTGTATAATACGCAGGCTTTAACTTCCATAATTAGTTTAATTAATTTTAATTTTCTTTGAATTCATGATTTGGTGCTTTTTGTATTCCCTGAACTACTTGCATGAAGAAAACGTGACCATTGATTGCCATTAAGCTCCATGTTTTGATGGAGGTTTTAATTATGGTATTAATTTGGTTAATTCAGACGTTAATTGTTTTAATGGGGGTAGACTAACGTGATTAGTTTCCATGTTTGTTAATAAGTTATTAATAATTAGATCAGAATTTTTGGAACGTTTTGTTAATTGATTAATTGCTTTGTTAGTTTGGATAATTAGTTTTAAACTCACATTATTTATTAATTGGTTTTAATTGACTTTAATTTTGACACCTAGACGCTCATATTAATTATTCTTATTCGTAGTTGGACTATAGGGAAATAATTTGATGATTCAGTAATTATCTCTCTTTTTGACCTTAATTAAGAATTTGAATAATAATTTTGATGCATGATGTTGAAATTGAGTATGTTTGAATCAAATATTTTTGACTTTTTTTTCAGTAGTAATTCCAACCAATCAGAGGTAAGTAATTCGAATCGAATATTTTAAATTTAAATTTAAATTTTTAATTTTCGCAATCAAAGACAATCGGCAAATTAATTGGTACCGAAAGGGCGATTTAAGGGTGCTAATCCTTCCTTGATCGTAACCGACTCCCGAACTCGACACGTTTCTAGTACAACGCATATCAGGTAAGATGGTGTCCGATCTACCTAAATATCATTTTAAAATGATCGATGACGACTCTAACCCAATTATTTCAAGTCGAAGCCCAATTTCGAGTCCAACCAAAAGACGGTTACGACAATATAATTTTAGCATAGTATGATAGCTAGGGATCACTATTAGTTATAGATTAAAAAAACATAAATTCATCCAATTGTACTAGAACATTATTCATGATTAAATGGATGTTCCTTTTTTTTCACATATGTATAGGAGTAAGGAGGGATAAAAGATAATAGGTTATCACAATACCAAGTTGAAAATTTCGTAGGACCTCCGAATTATAAAATATTTCCGTAAAATTTGATTCAACGACCTCAATATTAAAAACCTTGTGCTCCTAATCAAATATTAACTTATAATTACCTAAATACTTTAAACATTAACTATTAAAAAGAACTGAGTTTCGAACTCATGGAATTGTAAAATTTACATGTTCTTGAAATTATAACACTGATTTCATCATGCTGATGGGTGTGAGTAATAAAAGAACAACAACGTTTAACCTAATTAAAATTCCTAAAACTAGTCCAAATTAAAAGAAGAAGAAGAAAAGTCAAATTCATCTTCATTTCGCCATTCAAACATTGCATTCAGCCCATCCTTCTTCCAAGTCCGGTTTGATTCTCTTCCTCAACCTCATCGCACGTGCCAGCCTCGGTTCCACGGCCACGATCACCTTAGCCGGCACACCCGACAGCTCCTCAACCCTCCTCAGGTTCCGCCACGACGCCACCGACGTGTCCCGGGTTGTCCTCAGCCCCAACCAAAACGCAGCTGCTAAGCTCAGCTTAAACGGCAGCCCCTTCAACCGCTCTAAACAAAACCCTAACGCGGACGCCGCCGTAGACACCACGGAGTGTTGTTTCAAACCCAACTTCTTGCACCAAACCGTCAAAACGCCCTCCATATCATTTCTATACGAAACCTCCGACTGCGAACCGTACGATCTTGATTTTACGCAAGCCCTTTTGGGTTTAGAATCGTTGGAAGAAGATTCACTGGTGGATAAACAATCAGCGGAAGAAAACGAGGGAGTCGAACAAGGCATTGGGTCGTTGGGTTTTTCACAAGAACAAAAATCCTCGCATTTTTTGCAGAGAAGTCGACGAACATGACGAGCCACAAGGAAGTTGGCACTGTGAACCTTGAAATCGCAGTTCCAACAAAGAAAAGCAGAGTCGGCAGAGCAGTAAACGGAGGCTTCTTCTTTGCAAAGCTCGCAAAGGCTGCCGGTCTTCATGTTCGATCAGAAAACAAAGGAAAGGGAAAGGTATAAGAAGAAGAAGAAGATTTAGAGGGGAATTTGAGGAGAAGATAGAAAAATAAAGGGAAAATGAGAAGATGTTTGGGGGAGAGAAAAAGGCGGTGGAAATAAAGTGTGTAAACGCATTGGCAAACATTTTGCGTTAAGAGATTTAAAAACAGAGAATTTGTGTGGGTTTTTCCTTTTCCTTTTATTTTTTATTTGTGTGGTTATTATATTGTTTATTAAATAAATGGTAATTTTTTAAAATTTATTATTGCTTTTCTCAAAAGCATCGCGTCTGATATTTCCCATCCTTTTTCTACTTGTTTTTCTGCCTCTCGTAATTATTTTTTTACACCATTTAAATTAGTATTTATTGCACAAATGATCTCTTTACTTTGAAACAAGTTTTATTTTAGCTCCTAAAATTTGAAACTTAACGATTTTATTCAAGTTTAATTCATTAAAGTCATAATGTTAAAAAATATCTTCAACGTTTGATTAGATAGTCATTTCTACTTCTAATGTTTCATTTTATTGCAAAAAGGTCACTAACTCTTGACTATATAATCTCTTTTACACTTATTCTTTTTTCGAATATTTTGACCCTTAATATTTTATTTTAGGATAAAAAACTTCTATTTTAGACCGTTCATCATTTTTGACTAACAGATTTCATCTATGAAAGAATTTTTTTCTCTAAAATAAAATATTATTGGATAAAATGCTCTAAAGAAAAAAATTGAGGCCAATGTGATTATTTACTGAAATGTTATAGATTTTTTTTGAACAAATTTAACTTTTGGTTTCGTGTGATTCATTACAAAGGAGTGAAGGTGTTTGGTTTTTTTTGGGGGGGAGGAATTGAAGAAGTTGATAACCTAAGTGAAAATAACTAAAATTTAAGAAGGATATATAAAATAAAAGCAAATTGAAAGGGTGGGGCATAAATATTAAATAAACTTATAATATAAAATAAAAGCAAATTGAAGAGGTGGGGCACAAATATGAAATAAACTTATAATATAATATAATATAATATAATATAATATAATATAATATAATATAATATAATATAATATAATATAATATAATATAATATAATATAATATAATATAATATAATATAATAATATAATATAATATATAATATAATATAATATATAATATAATATAATATATAATATAATATAATATAATATAATATAATATAATATATATGTGGTTGGACTGCAAAAATATCTTTGAAGTAGGTAGAAAAACTGCAAAAATATCTTTGAAGTGGGTAGAAAAGCAATGAGGGAGTCCCAGCGTTGATACAAATCAATCCTGACCAAGAATTGCCAATGACTTTCATCACACTACCACGTGTTCAATTTTCTCAACTCTTCTACCCAACTCGTGTCTATGAAACCTCACACACAACTTGGATCCTTTCTCTTTTGTTTTTGGTCACCGATCTACTTTATTCCTAATCATTAAATCTACCTAATATTGTTGGATATAATAATAATCGATTTTGAGCACTGTTGAATTTAATTTAACTCAAAATTTTAAAATTAAGTTTGATTTGATTAAAAATAATTTTAGCTTAAAATGTTTTATGAGCGAGTCGAAATTAAAAATTGAAACTTAAATCGAATTTAAAAAAATTTAAACTCGAAACATTCTCATACAAAACTTGAACATCAATTTTAAGTACTTGAAAGTCTTATATTATATTTTTTATAGTTATATATTTATCAAATTAATTTTTAAATTAAATCTAATTTATTTTAATTTAAATAAAAATAATATTTAACTATTAATAACGTTTATTACAATATTGACTTTAATAGCTTATGCATATTATCTTATTGTATGTTTATATAATAATTAAGGTTATCAAATTATCTTAGTATTAAAGAGACATGTTATTTCTATAAATTTTAAATTCTAACGTAATAAGAGTATTTTTTATAAAAACGGCCAATGTCACAGCGACGAACAAATATAGTTGGAAGTGAATGGGAATTTCCATATTTTATAAGGAAGTAATATTGAACATTCAAAATAGAGCGGACCCCGAATGGAAAAGGATTGGTTATAATAAAAACGCATGTCCCACGAAATAGGCGATGAGGACGTGGGAAGCTCTGCAGCGACAGAGTGTGGTGTGGTGTGGTGTGGAGCCAGAGCAACAAAAAATTATTAGATAGAATTATTTTATTATGTTATTCGTTGTTTTAATTAATAAAATTTATTTAGTTTATATTTTTTAAAATAAATTTTTATATTTTTTTACATATAAGTAAGTAGATAATAATTTAAAAATTATTTTGAAATGAATAAATTTTATTCACAAATATCTTAATAAGTAGTATTAAATAATAATTTTTCAATCACAAGGGAGTCCTATTGTGGCAGATCACCCACACGTGTAGAGAAACGGGTGATAGACGACCACGCAGTATCTACCACTACCGGTGCTTCTTGCTGGGAAGATGGCGCGGATTGAATGATTTTCTAGGGCCACCCTTTACATCAAAAACCAATCATCACCTATTGATTTATAGGCCTAACCAATTAGCCACGCGAATGTCTAAAAACAACGGGTAAATTACACATTTCCTCACTAATTTTTACTCTCTCCTATTTTCCTCACCCAACTTTTAATTTTTCTAATTTACTATCTAAACTTTACAAATTAAATCATTTTGCACACTCCCATGTTATCTCTCTAACTTTTGATGACATGTCATTTTATTATTATTTTTAAATATAAAATAATTAATAAAATAACAAAAAAATTGAAGGTGGTCGGATACCACTTTGGCCACCGTTGACCACCGCAATGGTGGTCGTTCAGTCTTAAATTACATGGGTCGCTTCACTTCGACACCGTGAGTCCGAATTGACCTCCATTTTGTCGGGACTTGTCTCAAAGTCCATGAATTTGAGATTTAAAGTGAGGAAGCCAAAAAGTTTCAATAGAGATTCACAAGTTTTGGAACATTTTTCAGTGAAACAATCACCATATTCGGACTCAGGGGGTCGAGATGAACTGACTCATGAAATTTGGGATCGAACGACCATTATTAATGATGATGGATGGTGGCCGAAATGAAAATGTGTGGTGAACCGGTTGCAAAGTAAAGAGAAAATGGGGGGAAAGAAAAAGGGAAAATAAAGAAATAAATAAGAAAAAAAGATTTATAATGGATTCCAAACGATGTTTTTAATGTATATTTGAGTTTTTCAAAATGGCGTCGTTGTAATGCTTATGTCATTTTTGTCATGTCATAACACCATTAAATAGTTAACGATAAAGTGAGAAAAATGATTCAATTTATAAAGTTCAGTGAGCAAATTAAAAAATAGAAAGTTTGATTAGAAAAATAGAAGAGATGGAAAATTCAGTGAAGAACGGTGTAATAATGTGTGCGATCGATCATTTAAAAAGTTTAACATTTTAAGTTGGTTGAAACTTAAATTATTATAAAAAATATAATATTTTTGGTTATTAATTAAAAATGTGATGAAAAAGGTAACATTTTAGGTCTAATAAAAAAATTATTAAGAAAGTAACATTATAGGCCGTGGCGGAATACAAGAGAGACTAGAGGGAGCCATGCCCCCAATATTTAAAAAATAAATTTAGACACTTCAAATTTTCAAAAGTTTAATTTGTTCCCAAAATTTTTAGAAATTTAGATTAAACTTTAAAATATTTTAATGTTCTTAATTAAATCCCCTCACATAATATTTAAAAATTCTCATTAAGCCTCTCAAAATTTTAAAAATTTTAGTTAAACCCTAATTTTTTTTGGACCTTCGTGAATTTCCGAAATAAATTAATACTCTTTTAAATTCATATTATAATTTCAAAAGTTGAGGTAATATTTATTTATTAGAAATTGATGATATAATCTCCGCTTGTGCCATGGAGGACCATTGTTAATTCCGAATAAATTGATATTATTTTCAAAAATTGCATCATAATGAATCATTATTTAAATAAAAGCTTGAAATCATAAATTTCCAAATTAAAATAAAGTGTAATCGATCAGGTACTAATTTTAGGCATTGTAAGGGTGTTAGTCATTCTTCGTTTTGTTTCTTGATTTCGCAGACCAGAACTGGTGTTTTAGTAAAATTAAAATTTTATTAAAATTATCTAATTTTATGGGTCCAATATCACTTTAAAAATAATTGATGTCCACTCTATTTTTTATAACATTTTCAAAAAACCCTCATCAGTCCCAGTAATGACATCTATGATTACACAACCATCGAACTTCCTTTAGTGGTTGAAGGCCTGAAGCTGAAACTGAACTTTATGTCGATGAAAGCCATAAGCATTTTCATGGAGCTCGTGCGTGACAGAAAATTACACAGTAAAGGTACAAATGGAGGGTGTGACACAAGCACTAACCTACGATCTCAAACATTTGCAGTAAGCGTTGCACATTGCTCTGCTTCTATATGTACTTGACGAGTAGTACTAGCAAGCATAAATATTATGCTTTTTGAATTGACATTCGATTATATGCAGTTTTTCAGTACATTCAGAATCAACTTAATTTAAATATTTATTTTATTAGAGTTTTACTAATTCCTCAATCTGATTCAGTGGCTAAATGATAGATTTCTTAGTTTAGGGTTCTAAGTTCAAGCCTCTCTAAAATTAAATTTTGGTTTTTATTTTAATTAAATAAGGTAGTGATATTCCCTGTCAACACCGTCATTAACTTTTAATAATTGATGAAATTAATAAAAAAAGAAAAACCAAAATAAAAATAAAACATAATATTAATAACACCTTTACTGAAAAAATAAGTCGAGTTTGGGGTTTTTGGGTTTACTATGGAAAAATACCCGAAATAAAACACCTTCTATTTATTAGTCATGTGTTTTGAATTTTCCGTCCAACAACAGAAAAGTATAATATATTACAATCACAATTTTAACTGTACAAAATTTTGATTAAAATTTAATTTACAAATAATTATTTAGTAACATATTATATAATTTTACAATTAATATATAAAGTAACCAGTCTGGAGTGAATTTCCATTTCCTTATTAATAGTTCGATCATCGTTGCATCGTTCGAGCTCGGATTGAATGCAAGCCAAATGGTGCAAAGGCTTTCTTTTTCCCCTTGAATATGTGCCCATAAACATCCATGTTCCAACCATTAGTAAATAAGAGAAGTCATGAAGTGTATGTATGATATTACCTTCAACAGCCCAGTTTTCTCGAACAAAAGCATGGAATTTGGGATTTTTAATCCACCCCGCCAAAAACTGGAATGGGCGGGGAGCCGTTAGGATGGAGTTCCTGCCGAATGAAGGAGCACTGACTGATGATCAGATTTGAGACGCGGAAGGTGTTGGATGAGCGTGTTCGGAGCCAGTTTAGACCACTCCTCGTTAGCTACCATGCGATCTAAGCTTTCATGAACCCCTCCTCTTGTCCACGTAAACTGGGGTCCTTAAAATCCCAGGTCGATAAGATTATGGTGGTGCAAAAACTCATGAAAATGTCTACACCCATAAGCACGTATCGCACCACCTCTCTTCTCGTTGCTCGACAAAATATCATTGAAATCGCCCGTAATAATCCACGCCATGTTTCTTGGATCCTGCACATCGTATAAATCCTTCTACAAAGCAAGACGTTTCTTCTTGTTAGGATTACCATACATTATAACAACAAGAAAAGGGTTAGTGTGATTATTTAAAATAATTTTGGCAGTGATAACTGGGGGTGGACAACCACCACTTCCACTTTAAAGGTGTTATTCCAAATGATCCAGATCCCTCCCGAGAAACCGGTAGCTTCAACTCTAAACGAGCTATTGAAACCAATCCTCTTGATGACTTGATACGCCTTCTTAGCGCTAATCCGAGTTTCAAATAAGGCAACTATATGTGATCTATGCTCATATGTATATTCCTTCAGAATCCTTGGAAACATTTTATTGCCACAGCCCTGACAATTCCATGACATTAGTCTAAAATCCATAATCAAATGGATTAGAAAAGTAACCTTAATTATCAATGCCCATGGCATCGACGTTCAGTGGCGTTGTCTGACTTTGATTCTTGGGGTGTCCTTGAAGGTTTTGCACCACTTCATTAACAACTTCACGGATGGAATGTTAACTTTGAGTATCAGCTTCAAGTCTGGGTCCTTTATTTTGAATTGCGTACAGAGCAACTCTGCCTTTAGAGGTTCTCGATCTTTTGTTACTGGGTTACGATGTGTTTCCAGTGTCATTAGAACCAGCAGTAGACTGATCTCTGTTGAATGTTATCACTTTATGATGGATTGGATCAATCGAAGAAGGCTTCTGATGTCCTTCCATACCTAAAGAATTAACGAAAATGGGGTTAGTGTTGGATTGGAAACTCGCTCCATTAATACTTACCATTTCAGCTTGTCCAGTAATGTGATACTGGGATAATGAAGATAGTTGCATGGGTTTAGGAGAACTTTCCATGTGCATGGAGTTATTTTCTTGTCCCTTATTGGGAACCATATCAATTTGAGCATATTTGGATTTGGAAATCAAAGGAGTGGGCTCTACCAAAAGATTGACACCTAACTTGGATTATTCAAGGAATTTTTATGACTCATCTGGGAAATAACTTTGTGGTTGTGTAACTCTATAGTGGTGGGTCTAGTGTGAATGATATTAAGGATCTCCACATGACCTGGGTTAAAGGTAGAAGTTGACTGGAATTTTTTTTAATAGTGGCCGAAGGATCCGTTGAAGATTTGTCCTGATAATCAGCACTATTATTTCCTGAATTAACTAGGGCCCATTTCGAATAGAGCTAGCCGTTAGGATCGCAAATCTCGATCCAGTTTCCTTCTGATTACCAGTTGTGGTATTAGCGCTAGCGTTAGCCAGAGTCTTGGCATAATATGTAGGATGATGCCGACAGCGCCTCTCCACCACCATCCAAGGTCCATAATCAGCGTTCTTTGAGCATACCTGGTTAACTTCGGGTTGATTACTAGACCTCGGGAGATGATTCTCCTTACTATTATTAGTCGTGGTATGAGGAACCTCCGAAGATAGAGCAGAGAAGCGATGGTCGGATTTGTAGAACTACATACAAGCCTCCTTCAGGTGTCCGAATTGACCACAGGAAAAGCAAATGAGTGGCAAGTTTTCTTATTCCACAATTTGATTTTTATATCCCATAACAACCTTAGAAATGAGTGGTTTAGTAAGGTTAATATAAACTACAACTACGTCGATGGCTAGTCTCGTTATGAAAATCAAGTTTAGCAACCTTACCAACCAAACTCTCAATACTATGAAGAATTTTCTTGTTATACAAATATTTGGGAAGCCCAGGGAATCAGATCCAGGCAATGACAGATGTTGGCTAAGGATGAGACGTTCGGAAATCCATTGTCCAAGATTGAACGGTGAGGTATTGGCCATAAATAATCCAGGGTCCCTCGGCCAAAACCTTAATGTAGTCTTCCTCATTCTTGAACCTATCCAAAAATATCCATTCTCAAGATCCATTAGGATGAATGGCTGAGACGGATGCCACAAACCATATACTTTATTAGAGAGGGTACTCAGCCCTATGTTCCTTCCTAACAACTTCAGGATCAACGTGTTGGCCATGCTGGCTTCCATCTTCTTATACGTACGTTCAGAGAATTGTATAGATGGTAAACTAAAACGAGTGCCAGTGATAATGTCATCATCTTCGATGACAAAGTAATCAAGGTCCTTAGTAGCAGTGTTAGCTTCACCGGTCAATATAGAGGCGTAGGATTGGTTTTGGGTAGATGGATTGTCTATGCTCATCTCTTGCAATTGTAAATCAGCCTCCGGATGGAGGAGAAAGGGGACGGAAGTCTCGGTTACCACATGGCCTTTCGGTTCTTCGCTAATAGGATCAACAATAGCCATCTCCAAATCTTGAACGTCGGCATCATGTGGAGGCTTGAGGCGAACTTTTTTGGTGATGTCGGAATCCGCCATAGTAACACGTAGGAGTTTGTCGCTATTCATTTTTTAGTACTAATTATATTACTTTCTTTTTCAACACTTCCCCTCAAGTTGGTGGTTCAAAAATGTCTTTAACCCTAAAATGTCTTCCTAATATTTTATTATAATGTAAAGTGGGTCACAAACAGGAGCATTTGCAATAGAAAACGACTTTGTAGGAATCAATTGAAGCAAAAGAACAATGAAAGAACAACACCATTCATCATTTCTTTTCAGTTAAAGCAATTGTTCATTCCATCAAAGATTGGTCATCTACTTCTTACCTTTCTTCTTGTTGTTGTTGGACTTGGATTCACTGCCATGATTCATATCATACAGCTTGAATGCAATACGGAAATAGAGATGAGCATCAGCAGTGGAATGCAAGACCTTGGCATCAGTCAATTCACCGCTCGTCTTAAACCACTCAGTCATCTTCTTAAACCTCACATGAACCCCATCTTTCCCCAGCACAGCCAAAACCAGCCCATCCAAATCATACTTTCCCCCGATGTTCAGATCCACGGCGTTCTGTATCTTAACCCTAAAATCCCTCTCCAAACGACTCGCCTTCGCCTCAATGCCCATTCCGACGACGACAACCCTGGGATTTTCGAGGAAGGAAATGAGGAACTTGGGACGCAGGTCACCTGGGTGATACAAGAGGTAAATAAGGCAGTGGGCGCCAATGCAGAGGATGATAAGCCCGTAGTAGCAAGTGTGGCGGACACGGAAGTAGTGCTTGTACTCAGGTTTGAGTTCGATGGAGAATCCGACGACGAGTTTATTGGGGAGGCAGCTGTTGTTTCGAATTTTTATGGCTTGTTTGAGCCACTTGGTGACGGTCAACTCGGAGGAGGTGACGATGGTGAGGATGCGGTGGTCGCTACCGACCTTGACGGTGTAGGCGTCGTAGATGTAGTAGGGGTCTCTGATGTCCTCCATCTTCTTCACGGAGAAGATCTCCATCTGTTTCAGAGCCATTGAAAATTTTCCTTTGTTTCTTGGAATTGATGAAAAACAAAATTCAGGAATCAGGATGAATCTTGCTTTTACAACTTACCTAAATACTTTCTGTTATGAATCTTTATCCATTTCTGTTATGAAAAAGAAAATATGTTTAATTAATCTATAAAATTATTACAAATAATTAGTTTATTTTAAAACAATTTAATTAAAATTAAAAAGTAAGCTTTTCTTTCAGATAAATAGTTATTTCCAGTTATACATAAAATAATTATGATTTATAGATAACTTTTTTTGTTTTTATTTTTTTATGTAATATATTTTTTTAATTATGAGTCTGAACTATTTACTTATATTCATCCAATAATATTGAATTAATGTAAAATTATAAAAATTACAAAAGGAGTGAATCTTACCTCATAGATATATTTAGATATAGATGACTCTATAACGAACGTCAATATGTAATACTAATTTCTTTTTATTTTTTCAAGTAAAATCTAAGAATCATGAGGACTCGTCGCACAATTAACATTTGAATTCTAAGTTGTGCCATTTTTCTCTTTATTTACTTATTAATATTATTATCCTTTTTATTATTTCTTTATTTTATCTTAAAATAAAATCTGTCACCGTATTCTTTATATTTTCATGTTAATTCACCGAAAGATTTATGAATGACAATTACCTACAAAAATGTTAAAATATTAAAATAAACTTATATAATTTAGTGAGAGAGTTTAAATAATAATTACAAATTATGGATAAAAGTTAACTCAAGAACATATAATTGATACTTATTCATACAACAATTCATATCAAACCACAAAATTTTCACTTTAATCATATTTTCTTGTTTATCAAGCAATTGAATTATATCATTTTAACAGTTAGCCCATTGTTCAAACCGTAAACTTAATAGGGCGTACCCTCCAACATTGCCAAAGACCCATTACATATACATATATATATATATATCTGACATCGTCAATAGATCAAAGTCTTACATAAACTCGTACATGAATTCAATGAAATTTATGATATGCCATGTATCTGACACTCGATTTAATTTTCAAAGAAAATATATTAACATGATTAAACTTGTTTATATTACTATCATGAATTTGATAAATATAATCAAAGTACAGTACTGTTGAACCCTAAGCTCCACAGTTAGTTTGAATTATACATCAGAATCTATTTCAAAACTTATCATATCAGAAGACTTAATATGCTTTCATTCAATTTCAACATATACATAATTTCATAGTCATTTCACAACCAAATCATTTTAGTCATAATTAAGCTTACCAAACATATATTTGTCATCCAACATTGCTCTAATTGATTCAAACATGCATTTTGTCTTAGCCATCAAATATTATTAGAAATTAAATCGAATTATAATACACGATATCATAATCAGGGACGATTACACTCATAAAATATTATTAAAAACGCCGTTATATGACTGAAAAAACGTCGCTAAAAACCTATTTTGTTGTAGTTATTAACCAAAAATTAAGATAAATTTGTAGATAATGTGAATAGCTTATGTTAATTGTGTTATAAATACACTATTTTAGGTTTAAAGTCATTTTCATTAGCATTTTTAAAATTATATTTTAATTTGTAATTAATATTATATGTAGGTTTAATTGATATAATCTTAATAATTTATTAAAAGTCTATGCTTCTTTTATACCTACAATGAAAAGAAGAAATACAGATATAATACCATATCAATCAATAATATTGTCAAAGTGTATGATTAATACTATATCACATTAAAACAACTAATGCTACCTATACATTAACACTAACTTTAACCACCCATCTGTTCTCCTCCATCAAGTGTAATACAGAAGAATTAATCCTCATTAATCATCATTCACACCCTGCCAAAGTCTACTGTGATGAGCCTAATAAGTATTTTTCAAGTGATCTTAGTATCAAAGAGAGTGTTATTCTTCTTGAAGTGACAATTGAAAAACGATTTATACGAACCCATTAAATGACTATAGTGATTAAAGAGAGTGTTATTATCTCTATAGATTCTAAATTTAAGCAGCTTTCTTCGACTACAAAATATGTGTTATCAATGATTGAATTTTTCTTTAAATAGTTACTACATTGTAATCACCTAAACTATTAAAAAAGATTTCCAGATAAATCCTAATAAATATTTTTTTAAAATATTTAAGAATAGGACTAGCCTGGAAAGTTAGGCTAAATAAATATAATATCTAAAGAATAACCCGGATTTTGGTAGCCCAAAACCCTTGTTCAGAGTTTATATAAGGGGATGATTTTTTTAAAAACGTTTTATTTTATTTTATATATGTAATCTTATTAATTTTTAATATTATTATTTTTCTTTAATAAATATTTTTAAAATCATAAAATTTAATTAATTTACCTTTACAATATCAAATCTGAATTAATTGTTCAACTACTTAAATAATAATAATATAAAGTATTCCATCAAATATTTACTACTAAACATTTTTAGAAGCAAATTAACTTATAATTTATTTTTCTAAAAATACAAATAAAGTTTAGCATAAACTTTTTTTTATAAAAAGTGAATAACAAAAGCCGTCTAAAGTCTAAACTCTAAGTTATCCTATATTCTTGAATTAGCTTATAATATATTTATTAAATTATTGGTTTAAATATTTTGAAAACTCCTTATATTATTTAGTTTTTAAAATTTAGTCTCCATATTCTTTTATAAATTTAAAGAAACAACCAGTTTCTTTTCCGCGGTTACCACATCTCTTTCTCTGTTGCAGTCAAGGGCAGTTTTCATATTTTGCGTCAAGGGCAGCTGTGGTGGTTTTACCCGGTCACTCCTTGTTATTTTTCTTTTTTCCTTTTTTGGTTTATAATTGTTCGATTTTATTAATTTTCAGTTGTATTTTATTGTATTTATAATAATATTTTATTTTGACACATTTTCTATTAAATAGTATCATGGCTACTAGTGTATTCGAACTTCTTGTGCAAGTTTCTTCTGTTTGTCTTCTTGATCTACGATTCAACATATTTCTTTGGTTGATTGCTTTTTCGATGTTTGGTTTCTTCGTTCGTTTGTATATGACATTTTATTGGCTTTAAGATATATGTATCCGATGAGACTACGGTTAAGGAAAGATTGGTTTTTCATTCGTCCGCTTTGGATTGTAACACCCCAACCCATACCCGATCCGACTATGAGTCTGAGATGTCACATTGACTTTTCAAAACCTTTACTTGAACAAAATAGTGAATAATTTTAAAACTTTTACTAAATACAATTAACTAATTTACATAAATTAGTATCATATGATTTTACAAAACCAATTCGAGTATATCGGATTCAAATCTTTATTTACATGTCAAATCCATATATTTTCTGATCTGAACTTTGTAAAGGAGATACTGACCTGTCTTGCTCCGCATTGCTCTCTATATTCTTCTCGAACCTACGTGTGAAACAATCACACGCTAAGTCGATGACTTAGTGAGGCAAATAAAACATATAATAGAAATCATAAAACATTCCATATAACAAACCACATGATCTTGTACTTATCATTTCTGTATATCATATCACACATATATCATTTCACCAAGAAACACCCATAAATCTTAATTCCTGTAACACATTTCCTATCACTAAAAGCATATACATTATATATATTGTATTTATGTTATCTCTTTGATTAGCCCATGATACACTTGTGAGAACTATAGATATGTGAGTCTATAGAGGTTGTGCACTAATGATGTCACCACAGCTTGTATAAATGCATCGAAGTGTCGCATAGAAATGCACCGTAGTGCCACGTAGAATTGCACCAAAGTGACGCGTAGAAATGCACCGTAGTACCATATAATAATGTACATAAGGACCACATATCATTCCTTAAGAATCATATACATATACTAAGGACCAAGTATGTGTCTCAAAGACCTCATAAATGTCCCAAAGAATATATATATATCCCGAAGGACCGCGTAGACCCTCGACTCTTGGCATGCCAACTATAACCCTAGCTCTCATGACACATAACATGGGCATTATCATTTATTTCATTTCAAATATTCACATAAACATGTAATTCACTTTCACATATCACGTATCACATAGCTTTTCACCTTTACTTGTATTCTTTTTCACATAACTCATAGTCATATCACTTAGATTTCATATACATCTAGTCACATAGATCACTTTTGCATAGCTTATATCAACATATATACACAGGAATCAAATGGCATATACCAAATCATATATATATATAGTTTATGCCATCACATTACTTATACTGACATGGATCCCTATCATAGAGCTTAGTTCCCTTGTACATGTTATCACACCGGCATATAATCTTATATCAATTCTATAGGTACAAGCTATTTATCTTTATCTCATTTTCCCTTTGTATCAGCTTACATGCTTTATTATACTAACATGTACAATAATATATAACCCTTATCACTTATCTCACGTAATTTAATTATGAATTATTCTATCCAGTTAATTTAGTTCTATATAGCTCCTATAACCTTCTCATAAGGTTTTATAGTTCTTCATTTTATAACTTCTATATCATAGTTTTCTTTTAAGCATATCACTTTTTCATATAGTGTTTATCATATAGGTTCGTATCATCGTTATGCTCATGTCCCCTAATTTATATATACCATTTTCATAAAGTCTTTTAATTTATTATCTTCTGATTAATATATTATTCTCTTAAATATTCTCATATTACTCTATAGTCTGGTCTTATTTAACTCATCACCCATCTCATGTAGTCATAAATATATTATACTGATTCTCATAATTGATCATCTATACCCTGTAACATGTATGGTCATATATCATATAACTTATTTCATTTCTCATGCAATCATATAGATCATTCATATTAGTTCTTATAATTGATCACACTGCATGTATTCACACAAATCATTTAACACATATTGTAATTTATATCATATATACTCAAATCAAACATATACATATG